GCCCTGCACCTAACTCGTCTCAATGCATACATGCATTGACTTTTTCATCAGAAGTGCAAAACGTAGATAGATGTCGATGCTACTGCGCCAGATAGATAGATCGCGAAATTGATCTCATCATACTGCATTTTTCAGTTTTTCTAACGATATGTGGCAGAGATCTTTCAGCTTTTTTAAGAACATGTGCCAGAGAAGAAAAGAACGGAGGACTAGGCCTAAGTTTGTGCAAGGAAAAAAATAACATATAATAATTAATTAAGTTTTAATTATTTTAAACTTAAAATATAAATTTGTTTAATATTTTAAAGCAACTCATATATATATATATAAATTTTGTACGAAACATACTATCTAATGGTTTGAAATATATGCTAACGAAAATCTAGAAAAATCTTCGTCTCAATGAGATTCGAACGTGGCCTAATTGAGGTTTCGTCAGCGCTTATGCATGCATGGCTGGCATTATTATTATACTATTCCAAGTCCAACCATCGTGTTTTATGGACGACTCGTACGTGTCACCTTTTTCTTAAGAGCAAGTTAGAGATAAGACCTACTCCACCCTACTTCCTTCTCCGTTTTAGGTTAAAGACTTTGGTTAGGTTAAAGGTTTTGGTTAGAGTCAAATTATTTTAAGTTTGTCTAAATTTATAAAAAACAATAATAATATTTTCAACTCAACACAAATTAGTTATAAAAATATATCCAATTATTGATTTAATGAAACTAATTTGATATTATAAATATTACTATATTTGTGCATAAACTTAGTTAAATTTGAATAGTTTAACTTTTGACTAAAATCAAAACATATTATAGCCTGAAACGGAGGGTGAAACGGAGGGAGTAATAGATTGAGACAAAATCAAAGATCTAAAACGGTCCGTCTGGTACGTACACTTCTTAGCAAACAGGAGTACTAATGTAAGGCCCTGTTTAATTCCCATAAAAAAACATTTCATCATGTCACATCAAATGTTTGCACACATATATAAAGTATTAAATATATAAAAAGAACTATAGATTGTGTAAATTGCGAGACGAATCTTTTAAGCGTAATTACGCCATGATTTGACAATGTGGTGCTACAATAAACATTTGCTAATGACGGATTAATTAGGCTTAATAAATTCATCTCGCAGTTTACAGGAGAAATATGTATTTTGTTTTGTTATACTACATTTAATACTTCAAATGTGTGTCCATATATTTAAGGTGATACGCCAAAACTTTTCACCCCTGAAACTAAGCAGGGCCTAACTTTGGCCTTTTACTGCTGTGCATATATAAAAACAAAACAATTGGCCTCATGTACAATCTGGCACGCTTGGCTCTTCATTCAATTATGTAATTTGGTTGATTCAATATTCAATATATGTACGAAATAAATGTCTCGTGTAGCATAGTCCTATATATATAATAATACTAGAAAAATTATCCGTGTGTTGCAACGGGTGAATGCTATTTTAATCTTATTATTGTTATACGGTTTAGCTAGGATAAAATTTGCTGTTTAAATTCGCTTGGATATTTTTTTAGAAAATCATGAGGTACAATTATGAGTCCGACTTTCATCTCAAGTTAACGTGCGAGTTTTTTTAAAGAGATTTCTTATACGACTCCTTTTATATTTTAAAAAACAAACGAACTTAAAATCTGACTCAAACACGGATAATCTTAGGTGGGAACACGAAAAGAAAAAAATAAGAAAAACACGGGAATTATTCCTTCTAGAAGCTATATTGCAACTAACAATACCAGTGGATCGACCGTGACACTGACACACACAAGGAAAAGGAAAATTAAGAGCACAGCCTGACTTCTAGAAGCAATATTGGAACACATATCACATGCAAATTGTGAATGCTAATGCCATGGTAAAATCGCCTCTAAACTCACCAGAGCCACTCAGACGGTGTTGTATTCTTGAGTGCTTTGGGTTTCAAAAATGCTAATATTCGAGAGCGCGAATATTCGAGGGGGTTAAGTAGAGCCTTGAAAGATGATATACAGTACTACTGCAGTTTTGTAATGTGATTCTTTTCTTCAACCGCATACTTGATCTTGATAACATATTGTAGTAATATTTAACGCCGTTGACTTTTTAAAATATGTTTGATCATTCGTCTTATTCATAAACTTTTGTGAAATATATAAAACTATATGTATACATAAAAATATATTTAACAATGAATTAAATGATAAAAAAAAGAATTAATAATTACTATTTGAATAAGACGAACGATCAAATATTTAGAGACGGGGGAGTATATTGTAAAAACGGCACGAATAAATCTGCTCAATACTCCTTTGAGTCATCAATATTTGACATATAGGATAACGCTATTTATAAATTTTATATTAAAATAACTTATAATATCTAACGAGTTTATGGTGTTGCAAATGTGTGCCTACCATTTTTTTAGTTTAAGCATTTGAGAAAATATTGTCAAAATTTCAAAAGTTTTATCCTAAATTTTAGATATTCATGACCGGAGAGAGAACTTCTTTTTCCAAAAAAAAAAGTTATAACGGTGCTCAAGTCAAAATTTGGACTGCTTTAGCACGTTCATTATTTAACTAACTAGTGAACAGCTTAAGATTTCAAAAATTCAAGCTTCTTCCGAATGAATGAATATTCCAATTCTCAGCTAAACATCTCCTTCGTCCAAGACTTTAACCTGCAACTCCATAGTTTCCATTCCAAGTTGTAGACCATGGAGCAAACTTAACTTTTACGTTTAATATTCCGATTTAATATGGCAATTCCTATGTCCATTAAGTAAACGTGATGGCTCTTTTTAGTATTCTCTTAGCAATAAGATAGATTGAAGATAAAACTTTATTGTATACACCACCTTCAAACTAATTGTTCTCTTTAATGGCATTCTTCCACTTACAAAAGATGGCATATTGTATTGCACATTCTTGATAGTCTACAACCCTTTTCAAACAAGAAAAAAAATCCCTCGCTATAAGCACTTCATTATTACCAAGCTTCATAGATTTGTAATATTTTCAGGATTTCAAATACTCTTCTCCATCATTATTTTCATTAATTCTAATAGATAGCACGATACTACGGATGCTTAATGTTTTCCTTAGAGTAGAGTAATTTTAATTTAAAGGTTTCAAAGTAATATACACACACATATATATATTCTACTTTTTATTATCAATTCCCATTATTCATGTTTAACATCAACTATTTTTAATATTCCTAATATTATATCCCAGATTCTATCATTTGGAATTTTTATGAAATTTGCATGGCAATCCAATTGCTAATTTTCGTATTTTTGTGAAAATTTTACTTTGGAATTTGTGTTGTAAAAATGCTTGGCTTCATTATATTTTATTCTAAATTTTAATTATTCACATGCATAATTGTATTCTATTTTATTCTAAATATTCATATATTTAATTGTAACTATACTTGGACTCTGTTTATTCAATCCACGGTTTGAAACTTTTTCTTCTTTACTTAATATGAAGATTTATAGACTGGGAGAGTAAACATGATTTTTTTACCAAGATCATGTGAGAGTAAGGCACAGTAGCAAATCAGAAAATTTATGCTAGAATTGAAAGAAATGAGGCTACTAGTTAAGCTAGGTCCGACATGGCCATGTGAGTGTATCAGGCAGCTCTAATTCTGAGGTAAGTACCTGAAAGAGGAGAAAAGGTAATTCTGAGAGAACCACTAGTCAACTTCTCGATTTGTGTAGAACTTCTTTCAATTTATTGTATACACTTAAAATATAAATATTTTTGTGATTCAAATTTATACCCTAATATAATATAAACATTAGAAAATGATAATTCTGCTTTGAATTCCTGGACAAAGAAAAATAATACAGTTAAGATACTTCTAAGTATGTATTCATATGGCTGGGTTCGTAATGTACTATCGTTACTCTCCTTTCTATCTACGATGAGACGAACACCTGTATCGGCGATGTGATAAATCTAACCATTTGTACAGGTTGTGACCGTCACGAGGCAAGTACTGTTCGTGAACACCATTTAGACCTTCTTTGAAATAAAAGAAAAATGATAGGAATTGCAGAGGATTTTATCCTATGAGAAATAATTCTAGGGAGACTTTTGAAACAAAGGATTGATTTCTACCCATTCCTTTTTAAATTCTTGTGAAATAGACTATTCTAAAGCAATTTTGAAGGAAAATAAACACTTATCATGTATCTAAAATTCATGTGCTTTTCCTGTGTTAATCAAATGACAGTTTTAGAACTACTATGTTTCAAAATCCTCTATGAATCAAATGAATATAACAATCTATTACTGGCTTTTCATATTACTGTGTTTTCCCCCATCCTCGTTTCAAATGGCCTTACCATTTTAGTACCATCATTGATCGTGCGTAAATCCCAAAGCAAAATGAAAGAAAAGAACACTAGTCTAGAATTTTCTAAAGCATTTCCTTCTAAGAATTGTAAGTACTCCTACATACTTCATATACTTCATATGTTCCATATTACAAGTCGTTTGACTAAGTTTATATAAAATATAATACTCCCTTCGTCCTAGAATACAACAACCTACAACCGAATAGGACGTATCCTAGGACTATTGTTTAAATTCGTAGTATTAGTATATGTCCCATCCTAGTACTTTATTATAGGACGAAGGGAGCAGTATTTTCAACACAAAACAAACATATATCAAAATATATGTAATTTTAGATTTAATAAAACTAACTTGACCTTTTAGATGTTGCTAAATCTTTTTATAAATTTAGTCAAACTTAATAAAGTTTGATTATGGAAAAAAAATAAACTACGAAGGGAGTATTAAAGAAAAATGGAGTAGTTGGTAGTTCCCCTCAATTGCAGGTTCCTTAAAACCTAGTAAAATATTGGGGTAGTTTAAAAATGAGAAGTAGGAATCTTTTCTAGTTAGGCGAGCAATTGACAAGTAAAAGAAAAAACCCGCAAGTCAACCGTCCCTCCATCTCCAAATCCAAACCAAGGGAAGAAGGAAGAGGCAGCTGCACTTGTACGACCAAAAGACGGACCGCCTCTCCCACTCCCTCCTCATCTTCATCATCTTCTTCTTCTTGTGAATTGTCAAGAAGAGAAGGGGAAGAAGTTGCGGTCTCCGTTGCTGACCGAGAGACCCGCGTGAAACCTGAAAAGAGGGGAGGGGCGGAGCTTCCTAAGAAATTGAGAAGAAGCCCACTGCCCGGCCATATGTATAGGAACAAACCATCCCTCCCTTGTAGTAGTAGTAGTAGAAGTAGTAGGAGTAGTACATATTGGAAGCAGCTGCTGAGGCCTGAGGGTAGGATAGGCTGCCCTTGAGCCTGGTTTTCCCTCGATTTCTTCGTCCTCTGCGGCAGCGGCTTCTTCTTCTTCTTCTTCTTGGGTTGCTACCTAGCTCGTACTGGAGTATTAAGGAAGGAATAGCCGGCCGGCAAGAAAAGAAGCTCAACATCATCTAGCTCGTCGCTACTAGTAAGTAGGAGTAGTTGGCAAAATCCATCCATATATATGATGGCAACTGGCGGCGGCGATGGTCGTCGGAGGGGCCGGCGGAGGAGCAAGATGAGGCTGAGCAGGCTGTACAGTTTCGCGTGCGGGCGGAGGCCGACGGCAGTCGACGACGAAAGCTCCAGCAGGATCGGCGGGCCGGGGTTCACGCGCGTCGTCAACGCCAACGGCGGCGGCGGCATCCCGGAGTACGGGTACCGCTCCAACTCGGTGTCGACGACCAAGTACAACGTGGTCACCTTCGTGCCCAAGTCCCTGTTGGAGCAGTTCCGCAGAGTGGCCAACATCTACTTCCTCATCTCCGCCTGCCTCACCTACACCAACCTCGCCCCCTACACCTCCGCCAGCGCTGTCGCCCCCCTCGTCCTCGTCCTCCTCGCCACCATGGTCAAGGAGGCCATCGAAGACTGGAGGAGGAAGCAGCAGGTCACTTTCTTCCCTTCATTTCCTTAATTAATTTCCATTCGATCAACAGCTACTAATCTAGTATTTCCAGTAGTATATACTCCTCACTCCAGTAGGACTAGGGAGTAGTACTAGTAGTTCCCTAGCCGATTATTGCTAGCAAGCAATCGCCCAATTTTACCCATTTTTATTTAAGGGCATATGCATGCAGAAACAGATCAACCATACTACTCCATATAATAGGCAATTACTTATGCAAATGATAACTGATCCTCAATTTCATCACTACTAGGAGTATTTAGATTTGTTGAACTAGCTAGCTACTGAAAAATCTTACCAACTGTTTGTTTGTTTGTTTCATCCAGGATACCGAGGTAAACAACAGAAAGACAAAAGTGCTCCAGGACGGTGCTTTCCATTCTACCAAATGGATGAACCTCCAAGTTGGTGATATTGTCAAGGTTGAAAAAGATGAGTTTTTCCCTGCTGACCTAATCCTCCTCTCATCTAGCTACGAAGACGCCATTTGCTATGTTGAGACCATGAACCTGGATGGGGAGACAAATCTCAAGCTCAAGCAATCTCTAGAGGCATCATCCGGCTTGCAGGAGGATGACAGCTTCAATAGCTTCAGGGCTGTAATAAGGTGTGAGGACCCAAATCCACACCTCTATTCCTTTGTTGGCAACATCGAAATCGAAGAACAGTATCCTCTGTCACCCCAGCAGATCCTTCTCAGAGACTCAAAGCTTCGCAACACCGAGTATGTGTACGGTGTGGTCATCTTCACAGGCCATGATACAAAGGTCATGCAGAATGCTATGAAAGCCCCATCCAAGAGAAGTAAGATTGAAAGGAAGATGGACCGGATCATCTACTTGCTTTTGTCTGCACTTGTCCTGATTTCAGTCATCGGATCGGTTTTCTTTGGCATCACAACCAGAGATGACCTACAAGATGGCAGGCCGAAAAGATGGTACCTTAGGCCGGACGACTCTACCATCTACTTCAAGCCAACCAAAGCAGCCATATCAGCAATACTTCATTTCTTCACAGCCATGATGCTATATGGGAACTTCATACCAATCTCTCTGTACATCTCTATTGAGATTGTCAAGCTTCTGCAGGCTCTGTTCATCAACCAAGACATTCATATGTATCATGAGGAGACCGACACACCGGCTCATGCTAGAACATCCAACTTGAACGAGGAGTTGGGTCAAGTGGACACGATCCTTACGGATAAAACTGGGACTCTGACTTGCAATTCCATGGAGTTCATCAAATGCTCAATTGCCGGAACTGCGTATGGCCGTGGTATCACTGAGGTGGAGAGAGCAATGGCGAAAAGAAAAGGTTCTCCCTTGATCGCCGACATGGCCAGCAACACCCAAGGCTCTCAAGCTGCAATCAAAGGATTTAATTTCACGGATGAGCGTGTGATGAACGGTAACTGGGTTAGCCAACCCCACTCTGGTGTGATTCAGATGTTCCTCAGGTTGTTGGCCGTTTGCCATACGTGCATACCCGAAGTTGACGAAGAATCAGGCACGATTTCTTATGAAGCAGAGTCACCTGACGAGGCTGCTTTTGTTGTTGCCGCACGGGAGCTCGGTTTCACGTTTTACCAGAGGACACAGACCGGTGTTTTTCTGCATGAGTTAGATCCCTCGTCTGGAAAACAAGTCGACAGGTACTCCACTTATTAGAGTGAGCTTTTTATTGTTTCCTTTTCTTTGAAATTAGATTCAGAACTAATAATATTTTCCTGAATTTCCTTGGCAGATCATATAAGCTCTTGCATGTCCTTGAGTTCAACAGTGCTCGGAAGCGGATGTCGGTAATAGTTAGGAATGAGGAGGGGAAGATCTTTCTCTTTAGTAAAGGCGCTGACAGGTCAGTATATATTCTGCTGGAACTCCTAAGTATTTTGCTCAATATGCTTGCATGACGGCCCCTAATTCTTATCCATGTATTGACTTGATCTCAAAAACTATATATGTATACAGTGTGATGTTCGAGAGGCTATCAAGTAGTGATTGTGCGTACAGAGAAGTGACCCAGGATCACATAAATGAATACGCTGATGCTGGTCTGAGAACACTTGTTCTCGCATACCGCCAACTTGATGAGGCCGAATATGCGAATTTCGACAGGAAGTTCACTGCAGCCAAGAACTCTGTCAGTGCTGATAGAGATGAAATGATTGAAGAGGCTGCGGATTTGCTTGAGAGGAAATTGATTCTTCTTGGTGCTACCGCTGTCGAGGATAAACTACAGAAGGGGGTAAGTGGTTTGCTGAGTAAAAAAAAAAATCTATATATCTTCGATTCCCCCATCATGGATCATGCATGCATGGTTTGCTGATATATAGCTGTTGTCATTCATGATTTTATAATTTGTTAGGTGCCTGAATGCATCGACAAACTTGCACAAGCTGGTATCAAGATATGGGTGCTGACGGGCGACAAGATGGAAACCGCCATCAACATCGGGTATGCGTGCAGTCTACTGAGACAAGGTATGACGCAGATAACCATCACACTGGAGCAACCGGATATCATCGCCCTGGAGAAAGGCGGTGGCGACAAAGCGGCTGTTGCGAAGGCATCAAAGGAAAACGTGGTGAAGCAAATCAACGAGGGAAAGAAGCGGATAGATGGATCGGTAGTTGGCGAAGCCTTTGCTTTGATCATCGATGGGAAGTCGCTGACATATGCCCTGGAGGAGGATGCCAAGGGCGCGTTGATGGACCTTGCGGTGGGCTGCAAGTCGGTGATCTGCTGCCGTTCGTCGCCGAAGCAGAAGGCTCTGGTGACGAGGCTGGTGAAGGAGAGCACGGGGAAGGTGAGCCTGGCGATCGGGGACGGCGCCAACGACGTGGGCATGATCCAGGAGGCGGACATCGGGGTCGGGATCAGCGGCGCGGAAGGGATGCAGGCGGTGATGGCGAGCGACGTGTCCATCGCGCAGTTCAGGTTCCTGGAGCGGCTGCTGCTGGTCCATGGTCACTGGTGTTACAGCAGGATATCGGCGATGATCTGCTACTTCTTCTACAAGAACATCACATTCGGCGTCACCCTCTTCCTGTACGAGGCCTACACCTCCTTCTCCGGCCAGACCTTCTACAACGACTGGGCGCTGTCGACGTACAACGTCTTCTTCACGTCGCTGCCGGTGATCGCCATGGGAGTGTTCGACCAGGACGTGTCGGCGCGCTTCTGCCTGAGGTACCCGATGCTGTACCAGGAGGGCCCCCAGAACCTGCTGTTCCGATGGTCGAGGCTGCTGGGGTGGATGGCGTACGGCGTGGCCAGCGGCGTGATCATCTTCTTCCTGACGTCGGCGGCGCTGCAGCACCAGGCGTTCCGGCGGGGCGGCGAGGTGGTGGACCTGGCCATCCTGAGCGGCACCGCCTACACGTGCGTGGTGTGGGCGGTGAACGCGCAGATGACGGTGACGGCCAACTACTTCACCCTGGTGCAGCACGCCTGCATCTGGGGCAGCGTGGCGCTGTGGTACGTGTTCCTCCTCGCCTACGGCGCCATCACCCCGGCCTTCTCCACCAACTACTTCATGCTCTTCACCGACGGCCTGGCCGCCGCGCCCTCCTACTGGGTGGTCACCCTGCTCGTCCCCGCCGCCGCGCTCCTCCCTTACTTCACCTACTCCGCCGCCAAGACGCGCTTCTTCCCCGACTACCACAACAAGATCCAGTGGCTGCAGCACCGTGGCTCCAACGCCGACGACCCCGAGTTCGGCCACGCCCTGCGCCAGTTCTCCGTCAGGTCCACCGGGGTTGGCGTCTCCGCCCGCCGCGACGCCAGGGACCTCCACCTCCCTCCTCCTTCCCAATCACATTCACATTCACAAACCACATCTACCTAGTAATAGTATAGTCTAGCAAGCAGCTACTGTTCACTAACAGCACCATTTTTTTTTCCACATCCAAATCAATTTCCCTTTTTCGTGTACAAAATTTATACTAGCTGAAGCCTAGTACTAGCCTTGTAACTGTACATTAACCCTACTTGCTCATCTCATACGACAACATGTAAGTACATTGGAGCGGACGCATACGTACGTACCATCCATTTTTATCTTGTTTTGTTCCTTCATCATCACACATTAATATTCATTCAGGAACAATAAAGATACTTCCATTCTTTTCTTGTTTTCATTTTGGTTCACCAATGGCTCTTTCTTTGTGATGTGATCACCTAAAAAGAACTCGTGTGATAGTCAAATTTGATGGCCTGGAAATCAGGAACACTTGTTTTTGGTCAGGCAAGACATTCGGCGTTAATTGTTACACTTACAGGCAGCATTATTCCATTCTAAAATGATGTAACTTGTTAGCCACCACCACGACGACGTTTCGTTTCTTGTGGGTGGTTCAGTTGAGACGCCACATGAGACCATAGGGCATCCATAATGTGCTCAAAAACTAGGTAGTAAGCAATAAATACAGCCTTAATACCAGGTAGTAAACATTGTGGAGGTAGTAAGCAACAAATACCAAGCAATAGCGCTATGACCTGCTAGTAAGGAATAAAAAATCATTGATTCTCTCAGCTATGTATTGAATCTTTCTTCTCTATCCATACTACCGTATACTTTTAGATTTTTATATACATGTGGGACCTATCTTATTACCTCCTATACATTGTGAGATCTTGAATAACAATTACCTGCTTTTGGTTGGTCCCACCTTATTTACTACTTGGGAAGGATACATTGCTGATGCCCTAACGTCGTCGTCCTCCTCTTGGCGTCAACATCAAAAATTCAGAGAAAGAGAACATCTAGAAGCTTAAATGATCTCGTGTGTGCTTTTGTGCTTTGACCAACACCATAATTTTGTCAAACAAGAAGAATGAGTTCATGTGTACATACATGATCGATCTACACGTTACGGGAGCACTCAATTCGCCACCCTATTCTTCTGCGAATAACAATCAAACAATCAATTCAGTTCGCTTTGCTTAGCCCTAACATAGTAAGGATTACACTGGACACTCCATACCCAATTCAACCCGGATTAGTGAGTGAAGAAGAATAGACTAGTCAATACTGAGCAAAGAAAGCAACTACTGCACGCTACAGGATCCTGGAGCTTGAGGCTATGAGTAGAGTACCTCTACTGGCGACTGCTGCTCCAACCGTATTGGCTCATGTCGGAGCTGTCATCGTGGTTGCCCAGCACCATCCGCTGGAACATCCTAACCTCTGCTGTGTTCGCCACATTGAAAAGCTCGCTCTGCCCTGGCTGAACGCCATTTGTAAGATCAATATCGGCTAAGCTATCAAGAGCTCGCACCACCTGAAAGAAATCAAGATTTTAACTTGATAACTGCTTCTAGATAGACTGAAAACCACAACCGTAGTACCAATTGAAATGAAATGCACTATTCGTATGCGCAGATTGGAATGCAAAGCATTGTTCCCAGTTCATGTAAAAAAATGAAATGTTTCCAGACAAATTCCAAACGTAGCTTGTATATTATATGCACCTGGCTCATTCTGGGCCTCCTTGATGCGGAGTATCGAACACAGGCTGCTGCAGCTTCAATCATACGGAACATTTCAGCTTCATTGAAGTTCCTCTCAAGCCTGGGGTCGACCAACTCTTCCAAATTACCTGTCTCAATAGCTTGAGTAAGCAATGGTCTAGCCTGCAAACAATAGGGATTCAAGAAATGTCAAGAGTTTGCAAAGTTGAAGGACAACAAAATAACTATTTGAGTGATATGTAGCTCATTTAGCTGTTAGTGATGTCTTGTTATTGCATACAGTAGTTGAGAACCAGAGTCAGGTAGCGATTGTGCAGTTCAGGGTAGTAGCTACTAGCTTTTACGACATGACACAAGTACATACATATACAAAAAAAAAACTCCGATAAAAATCTTCTTCTCTGAATATATACATAGGATTTATTTTACAGTATTCCACATTTGTTTGAGCCGCTCATCAGCCAACGGGTACTCCAAATATCAAATAGCGCATTCAAACTAAATGTCCCTCTTAACTTCTAAAGTGACAACATTCCATCAAAATACTAGGAAAGAAGGGCCACGTGACAATAGAAACTTAAGCCAATCCCAGTGAACAAACAATATTCTAGGAGATCTCCAGTTAATAGTCAGATAAAAAATTCACCGATAAGGACATTATAGAGTATCAGAACTAAAAATATGCCACCAAGTAAACCATTTTAAGCAATAAGATTTCAGTCCAGAGCTATAACTCACCCACTCAACAAGGCTCTCATCACCCAATGGCCTTGATGCATCAACAGGTTTTCTACCAGTGATAAGCTCTAAGAGAACAACACCAAAAGAGAACACATCAGATCTCTCAGTCAATTTCCCACTTGATGCATACTCTGGAGCCATGTACCTGCAAGGAAAAACGAATTTTATTAATTATCTCTGTAAGATCACGACAGATCTGCTTCTGAAAATTGCCAGTACTTCACTAACCCAAATGTCCCCATTACACGGGTAGTTACATGAGTTACAGCGTCCAAAGCCAACCTCGCAAGACCAAAATCAGCCACCTAGAATTCATGGACAGGATCAAATCAGCAAATTAAGTAGGCCATGAGATATGGCCAGACTCATTTACATTAACTATGTAGTGTAGAGATGCACTTGGGATCATTTTGGGAATATAATTACATGTGCCTCGAAGTTATTATCCAACAAAATGTTTGAGGACTTGATGTCTCGGTGGATTATCCTTGGATGGCCTGAAAAATGGAGATATAAGTGGAGGGACAAGGTAGGTCGAAATAATGGAATAATGACCGTGAAGATAGTCAAAAATAGGAAGGAGCATTACAATCTTCATGTAGATACGCTATTCCACGAGCAGCACCTGCAGCAATTTTAACCCTAGCCGACCAATCTAGAACAGGCCTCCCCTGTCCTGTGATTACAGGTTGATTCAATACATGTTTCAGTTTCTACTTGCAGAAGAACGAAATGGCCATGTACAATGTAGCAAGAGGTTAAACCATACCGTGAAGATGATAATGAAGGGTGTTATTAGGCACAAAGTCGTAGACAAGTAACCTTTGGTTATTGGAAATGCAATATCCCACAAGAGATACCAGATGACGGTGATGCACACGACTAATTATCTCGACTTCAGCCTGGAATTCACGTTCCCCTTGTCCACCACCATCTTTTAATTGCTTAACAGCCACTTGTTTTCCATCTGGCAAGTGGCCCTTGTATACAGACCCAAACCCTCCTTCCCCCAGCAGGTTGTGAGCTGAGAAAGCATCAGTAATCTGGTACAGTTCTTGGTATGTGAAGAAGCGGGAATTGCCCATGCTAATATCAGACATGCATGCTTTCAGTTTGGGACTTCCGGCGCTATAGTTTGTTTTGAAAGAAGGGTCCAACGATGATCCTACATTTGCGGAGGCACCTGAAGAAAAAGTGACAAAGATAGTAACGACTACATGCTGAAATTCGTCATGGTGAAAATGTTAGAATCACACAATAAGAGAGCTTCTATAGCGTTACTTTGTGGTACTGCGGTACCTCTATAAGGAAGGACAGTTGAAAATGTGTGAACAGTAAGGAAGTTTGTGCTCATTTTACATTGTAGAGTGAGGAATAGAAGTAGGTGTGAAAACTGAAAAAATGGCAGTAGTACAAGGGATGGGAGGAGTGCAGTACCTGATCCTGATGATGGGTGGTGAGAAGACAAGGGAGAAGTGGGTGACATGAATCCAGCACGGTAGCCATTATCCCTCCTACGCTGCTTCTTCTTCTTCTTGGTAGTGTACCATATAGCAGCTCCTAATAAGCTAAGCACAAGGATGGCGAGCACTGCACCGACAGCAATGGCAAGGTTGGGCGGTGAGGAGGAGGAGTTAGTGCGTCGAGGAGCAGCAGGGCTGGAGGATTTGTTGGAGCTGGGGTGCCTGGCCTTGTTGGGGTTGGCAGGGTCAGCAGCAGTGGCAGGTGTAGGCAGCAGCGGCGGAGATGGGCGGGGCTGGGTGTGGGTGGGAGTGGGAGTGGGAGACGGAGCAGAATAAGGGGAGGGAGCAGTAGGAGGAGGCGCTGCTGCTGGTACTGGAGCAGTCGGAGGCGTAGTCGTGGTTGTTGTCGGGGGCAGAGGCGATTGCGCTGCTTGGCTTGGCGGTTTAGGAGGCGATGGTGAATTTCTGGGTGGCGGTGGTGGTGGTGGTGGCGGTGGCGAGGCAGCAAGCGGTGGCGTTGCGGACGGTAGAGGTGGGGAGGCGGGCGGCGGGGAAGTGGGAGTGGTGTCGGCCGGCGTGGCATTGGGGTTGGAGGAAGAGGCTGCAGCTGCAGGTGCTAGTGGTAGTGGGGAGGTGGTGGGCGTGGTGGCGGCAAGGCCAAGGGCGACTGACGGTGAGGAGGAAGAAGAAGGGGACGCCGCTGCCGATTTCGATTTGTTGGCCATGGCGGCAGACAAGAGGTAACGATGGGAGCTCAGATCCAAACCCAGCGCCTTGCACTTGCACTTGAATCCATCATCATCATCGATCAATTCCTCTCCTCCTCCTCCTCATCTCATCTGCCTTGCCTTGTGAACCAACCAACCAACCCTCCTGAACCAAGGAACTAAGGAAGGAAGAGAGCTCTCGAATCGAATCGAAACCCACCAAATTTATCTTAGCCCCAATCCAGGCCCCCACCCCAGCACCAGCAGGCAGCAGCACAAGAAGAAGAAAGCGGGGGTGCCGTACGAGTGTGAGAGCGAGAGGCCAGTAGTACAGAGAGACAGACAGTAGGAGACGAGGAAGAAGAGACTGCTGCGCTGCAATGCCACTCCCTTCACCACTTTCCCCTCCTTCACAATTGGGAAAACTCGACATCATAAACATGGATGGTGCTTGTCAGTTGTCACTGTATAAGCACTTCTTCGGACCTATTCAGTTGGTGGAATGAAAATTTTTGAAATGTTTGACTGGATGTCGGAAGGGATTTTCGAACACAAATAAAAAAACTAATTTCATAACTCGCCTGGAAAACCGTGAGACAAATATTTTGAGCCTAATTAATCCGTCATTAGCACATGTGAGTTACTGCAGTACTTATAGTTAATCATGGATTAATTAGGCTCAAAAGATTCGTCTTGCGATTTACATGTAAAATGTACAATTAGTTTTTCTTTTTATCTTATATTTAATATTTCGTACATGTGTCCAATGATTGGATAGAATGTTTTTGAAAAAAGTCCATGAGGAACTAAACAGCACTTGAAGAAGGGTCCTCATCGCTATACGATACGGTCCTACTCCTACTACTCTGCAAATACTCCTAGGTGGTGACTGGTGAGAATCCTGAATATTCACATGACTCCTTTGGAGTACTCTTCTGACCTGCTTTCTTTTCTTTCCCCACTTTTGAGATGAGATGACATAGGCAAAAATAGGATTACGCAGCCAAACGATGTTAGAATTACCCTAGTCGCACTAGCAGATTAGTATCCATAAAATCAAATTTAGCAAGATACTAAAACGAAGGGCCGATTCCGATTAGATAGATGCGCTCGCGCTGGCGGCGCACAAAAACCACACCACAATTATTAGTTGTAACCACCAGCAGCAGGGCAGGCAAGAGTGCTGCTTCTTTGACTCAAAAGGGCACCATTAACTTAACAACGAGAGAGAGAGAGAGAGAGAGAGAGAGAGAGAGAGAGAGAGGTGGGCTTGGCTATTTGTACCATTGCTGTTGCAGCTGGGGCCGCCCAGCCCATTCCATCTCTAGGAGTACCAACCTACTAAACCTTATCCCATCCAATCCGTCATCTATCTATCTGCATATACTCACAAGAACTCTCGATCAGTCAGGCTATCATCTTCTTCATCCAGGCAAACAAGTACTAGTGCACAGCACATCACCATTGCTGCTTCAGTTGATTATTATCATCGCCATCGCCAGTAAGCACAGCACTCTCTCTTGTAGTGCCCATGCAAAACACCACCAGTAGCATACATATATAGTACGGCAATAAGCAACTCGATGATGCATCATCATAACAGGTCCAACAGAGGACTACTACAGGAGACTATTCTCAACAATTGTCGGATAATTAATTAATTAAAGATGACACTACTCAACCTCCGGATCTCCAAATACATAAACAAAAACCCATCAACCATGATTCCACTTATTGCTTGGTTAAGATGAATTGGTTCTACCACATACCGTCCTCCTACACCAAAAAAGGCTCTCACTCCACCACTGTCACCAGCTCAAACTCGATCAAGGACATGTTGTTATCCTCCTTCACTGTGAAATCAGCTGGGCTTTCAGCAGCTTTCACAATCCCCCACTTGTCCACCGCAAGCCGCATCGACCCCTTGAACATATCAATCTTGGCATTCCTCAGGTCAACACTAGCCCCAGCCTTCATTACATCCACTGCACACAAGAAAGTGTTAGCGCTTCTTTAGGTTACATGCACACACTAGGACCAGAAACACCTCAGTTACATGTAAATAGCACAAAGTTGCAAACATTTTAGAGCTGGAAAAACAGCAGCACTTATGGTTGGACATCCAATGTAAGAAAACCAGGTTGTAGCTTTGGAGAACCAGGACTGAATAGCAATGACTGGTTACAGGGAAAACAAAAAACAACACATAAGTACTCCCTCCGTCCCACAATATTAGGGATTTTAAGTTTTTGCTTGCAACATTTGACCACTCGTCTTATTCAAATTTTTTTTGCAAATATAAAAAACGAAAAGTTGTGCTTAAAGTACTGTAGATAATAAAGTAAGTCACAAATAAAATAATTAATAATTTCAAAATTTTTTGAATAAGACGAGTGGTCAAACGTTGCAAGCAAAAACTCAAAATCCCTTATATTATGGGACGGAGGGAGTACATGTTATAATTATGAAATCAACATACAGTCAACATGACTTGCTCGCCAGTGTACAAGCTCAATTTTCACCAAGGAATACATGCTCCTTGTGTGGGAAAATGAGTTGTCCCAGAACACGTAACCAATCTTATTAGTTTTATGACCGATATCTTTATACAAAGAAATCGTTCTCATCTATTTAGCATAAGTTACACAAGTACCATTAAAGGACTGGAAAATATTTGTGACACCAATTAATACTACCATCATGGGTGAAAACTTGTAGTCAAGGTAGCACTTTAGACAGAAGAGCAGACTTCATGTTGAGATGGAGATGGAGATTTGGGAGTAGCAAGTTATTATCATGTTAAAGGATTGCTGGTGAACCAGAAAAAAAAAATTTAGCAGAAGCCCTCCATCAATATATGTGGAACAATCTCCATGAGTTACAGCATCAAGTTATGAATAAGCAAGATGATGAGAAATGAATACAAAGGGAACTAATCATACAAGCATTATCACTGGTGCTGGTTAGGGTTGGCTATTGTGGGAATAGTAAGACTTACTGTTACGTATCTTTCATAAGCAAAAGACGAGTATCAATGAAATGAATGAATAAAGATAGGAGTAGTCTAGAAGAGGAGTAGTAGATAAAAGAGAGGAGGAGGATATAGAAAGTAAAGTACCCTGGTCGTTCCTTGCGGTGAAGACAATAATGCCGGTTTCATCGCCGACGAGGCACTCGGCAATCCGCATGTGCCTGCCCTGAGGGCCTCCGCCCCTCTGAAGGACCATCTTGGAGTCGACGACCTTGAGGAGAAGGTTGTGGCCATGGGTCCCAGGGCGGAGCTGGTCGACCTTGGTGAAGCTAGGCTGCCTGCGAGCGCCGGAGTCCGCCATGGGGGAACCTGCAACAATAATAATACTATTATTATGAAGTCGTCAGGTCAGGTCAGGTGAGGTGAGGTGAGGATCTCGCCGGATCGGATCGGATCGGATCTGACCTGATCTGATCCAGAGGCGGGCGGGATCTGCATGAATATGAGTGTGAGATTGGATGATGGGAGAGCTAAGGTGATCGATACCTGGATGAAGGGAAGCGGCCGGGGAGGAGGACGACGACGGCGACGGCGAAATTGCGGGCGGAGCAGAAAGCGCAAGGTGGGTGGGGTGGGGGATTTTATCTCTATCGATATCTATCTAGGAGTAGGAGTCTCTTCCTGTATATCTTCCTCTTCCACAGACCACAGACCAGACCACAGCAGCGGAGGGAGTAGCCGTCTCCCTCCGTCTGTCTAGCCCCCCGTCGCTTCCTTCCACGTGCCCTCGGGCCACCCCTTTCTCCTGCCGGCATATCTCATCCGTCCATCCTCCTGCCTGCCTCGCGACATATTCTCTGTAGATGCACACGACCACCACATTTTATGTGTCACTTTTCAACATATGGCAATTAAGAATTTGGTATATGATGTTTTATGATATGTGGATCTTAGTGATAAATCATTTATCACCACTCGTAAAAGTGGTAAATAGTTAATTATTTCACACGAGGATAAGTATGACGATGGATGCACATGATAAGTTTTCTTCGTCCTCAAATGAACAAATCAATATCCCTAAATAAACAAACAGTACCGAATATGACATTTACGTGAAGGGCATGTAGCGCAGTGATTGCAGTGACTTGAGTAGCATCTCAAAGTCCTGAATTAAAATATCCATATGAGCGAATTTCAGATTAGGTTATTTGAGAGCTAAGTTCCCTATTTGATATGCTAAGTTTCTAATTTAAAAAGACGGCATATATTCGGTTGGATGTAGAGACCGGATAAAAATACCTTTCTCTAAAAAAATATAACATTTACTATAAATCTAGACATACTCATATTTAGATTCAGAGTACTAGAAAGTATCACATATTGTACAGGTTTGTTTATTTTATGATGAAGAGAACATATGATACTACATCTTTTTTTTTTATTATGACACCGTTGACTTTTTGAAAAACTATGATCATTCGTCTTATTTAACTATTTTTTGCAAAATAGAAAAAATCAAGTCATACTTAAAGAATATTTGATAATAAATCAAGTCACAATAAAATAAATAATAGTACATTTGTTTTTAATAAGACGAATGATCAAACGTATCTCACCAAATCAACATCATCATATATTAAAAAACAGGAGTATAATCAAAGATACTTCACTTTACTCCAACCAAACGAAAATACATACACTGGTGGAGAAACCATCTTTGGTCGGTCGATCAAATTTTACAATAGTCCCGGTTCTATTAAAAACCGGGACTAAAAACGATTTTTAGTCCCGGTTTAAAAAAATTTTAATCTTTAGTCTCGGTTGGTAACATCAACCGGGACTAAAGATGATTTGTAGTCCCGATTCATCCCCTGTCAGATGTATGTCAGGGGATCGAGGATCTTTAGTCCCGGTTGATACTACCAACCGGGACTAAAGATTACCACTACCAACCGGGACTAAAGATCGATCTTTAGTCCCGGTTGGAGTTATCAACCGGGAGTAAATATTTCTCTCCCACATCCGATCGGTTAAGTCCAGACAGATATTTAGATAAGATTGGAACATCCCCTCTCTTCCTCCTCCCCTCCCCTCTCTTCCTCCCCTCCTCCCCTTCCTCTTCTCCTCCCCTCTCCCTCCTCCTCCCCTCTACTCCGTCTTCCATCAGCCGGCGGGTGGCGGGCGGCCGGCGGCGGCCACGCGCCGGCTCGGTTTTTTTTTATATGATTTGTGTTTCATTGGATGTATATTTTTTTAGATTTTGTGATTCATTGCATCGCATGGATCTAAGATGTATAATTTGTATAATCTATGATGTATTTAATTTGTGTGTAGTTTTTTAGGATTTGTGATATAGTTGATCTGTGTAGGATTTGTGATGTATAAGTAACTTAATATTTGGGATGTTGATTTGGGGATGTACATCTCATTCGATTCGGGAGAAAATACATAGATTAACACTAGCTATTAGCAAATCAACAATAAAATAATAAAAAAAAAGATCTCGAGGAACTGTCGCTTCCCCTCTTTAGTCCTGGTTGGTGTTACCAACCGGGAGTAAAGACCCCCGGTTGGTAACACCAACCAGGACTAAAGATCGATCTGACTAAAGATAGCGATCTTTAATTCCGGATTCGTAGTCTCGGTTGGAAAACCGGGACTACAAAGGGTTCTAAACCGGGAGTAAAGAGCATTTCTCCACCAGTGATATACATACAAATTCAACTGCACTTAGCCATGCCAAAATGCACGAGTATTTTGTTTGCAACATCGTTCCTTCAGCTTGCTTTACAACAAAATTTGAGCCTATGAATTGAACGAATGACGACGAATCCTTTACAACAGCGGACTCAACTCTCAAATTCGAGCTCCCTCTACATACATACAAGAAACAACAAACACCATGGAATCCAATTACAAACTGCCAGCAGCAACAATCTACTTGAAGAATATGCCCTTCCTTCTTCCTTTACTCTTCTCAACTGCCTGCAAAACACCCGCATTTCCTATTTTATTATAACGACAGCACATTATTAATCTCTCCATAGAAGAGATGCAAAACCAAAGTGAATTTCCCAATCCCCTTAAAAGTCTCAGACTTGATATCGACCAATAGCAATAGGTGTGTCATGCTGTCATATCAAATAAACCACCACCTTGTTTTTGGTAATTTTCAGTTATATATGCAGCAAAATACACTTGTTCTAGGTATCATCTCATGCGACTATTATGTGGAATGCGGTGCAGCTAAAAGCCAGTTATCTGCAGCAGCCACAAATGATACCCTACCCTCAACATAAAAAATGTGGAACATGAGCATGTACCACTGTTATGGCTAGGTTGCAGGTGGTGGTTTCTGGTCGGCCCTTACTAGGCACTTCCCACTCCAACAAACTTGGGATTGTAAACTAACCATCAATCCTTGAGAATCCCATGCTCCGTGATTAACTAACAGAGTGTGCACTTCCGCATAGCAGACACAAATCAAAAGACAATCCAAGATATCACTAATACAGTGTCACTAATACAAGAAACAACCAAACATGTCATGCTTGACAGTTCAACGAGATAAATGAGCTTATACCTTCATTCTGAACAGCCTCAAGATTAGAACAATGGTATCTCGTGATCTGGAAAATTCAAATACACAACATTTTGTCATGAAGGCACAAATAATTGGGGTCAAATGCAGTCACAGTAAAACAGGACATAATGACCACCAAGAACAAATTGTTGAGTGCAAAGCTGATTTTAAGTTGTGGGGTCTGTAATCATTGGGACGGAACAACAAGCTAATCCTGGTGTCTTTTAGTCCTATCAGGTGCAGGTGCAAAATAAAGGGCAAGATATAACAACTACCAAGGGCAGCTCGATGTATAAAAAAGGGTGAATAGCCAAAGTGGTCCTTCAAGTTTCATCTGAGGCTCAGTTTAGTCCTTGATGTTTCAATCTATCCGTATTAGTCCTTCAAGTTTTCATTTTAGTTCAAACTTAGCCTTGAACCAACAACTCTCTTGATAAATGACACTTATACCCCTATCATTCACATATATAATAGAAAAATTGCATGCTTGATTTTTCTTTTAGATAAGCATAATAAATTATGTAAAACGAAAATAAATTATGTACTAGAAAGTATATATACGATAGCAATTGCTTAAGTTCCATGTGCACATGTTGAAATAATGGGAAGTACATCTGCAATGTTGTTTATTCATCTTGGTTTTCTATTTTCTAGTATATAGTTGTATACAAATTAAGGGCAAAAGGGACATTTTCTAATAGAAATATTAACTAGAAATAGCCATATGGCATATTAAGGGCATATTAAGTGGGCCCAAGGATGATTTCAAGCCAAAACAAATATTTAGAGGAGCTATGTGGACAAAATGAAATGTGAAGGACCAAATTGAGCCTTCGGTAAAACTTAAGAGACTAAATTAGCTATTCACCCTATAAAAAAACAAACATATACTACTAACACAGATGTGGCTTAGTATGAAACTCACGGCGCATTCTCTGCAGGCTTGAGATTGTATTCAGCACCATCAGCAGCCAATATAGAAAATTCAGTAGGACGCCCATATGGGATATTGATCTGGAAAATTAGAAAAAAGATTATGTGCAGATAATGGAAACAGAAAATTCTGTTCAACAGAATTGGCTATATTGGAACATTAGAGAACCCAGAAAGTTTAAAACGAATAATGCTTGCTACCTATGGTCACAGAAAGTGTAAATTTTACTGCTTACAGCTTCAAGCTGCAGTTTTTGACAGTGATTCTTACCATACATGCAAAACGTACTAAGACTACCATTGTGGAAGTGCCTTTTCAATATAAAATGCCGATGCAAATATGATGCAGCTAATCATTTATAAAGATGCTGTTAATGAAAGTTTAAGGGTCAGTTTGCAGCGGTGGTTCTCTATGGTTTGCCTATATTTAAACTGTTGTGGAAATTGTACATTGTAGTTTGTCTGAGAAATCAGATTAAGGTTAGACAACTTTTATTTTGTTTCTCAAACACTAATTCCTTTCTTCCATGCAAAAACAACTAAACAACCTAGATCGGAATTTCGGAAAGGAAGCAGTAAGCCAAACACCAAAATTTCTAAAGCAATTGCACCATATACAATTATTCGTAACCTACTAACCTCAATGTCGAAACAAACCTAAAAGATATATCACAAATTTATAAAGGCACCCTTTTTCTAACTGGCATACATTCAGAACAGTAAATTCAAAGACAATGATTTCTAGGACATACAGCAGTGGCTTGCTGGAATTTTTCTGTAATAACAACACCACGCTGGCCATTACACTTAATGCTGTAACCTTCCCTCTTTATTGCCAATACAGCTGGTTCCCACATATCTAGAAACCTAACCTGCAAGATTGATAGTCCAATGGTTATATGACAACAAAAGAAGTGTCGTGAGAATGATTGACATATCAATATAAAAAGGAAATATAACATACAGGCAGCAGAACTTCATAGGATACATGCCCAATTGAAAGAATTTTCTTGATGAGCTCCTTTGTTTCAGGATCTGCATAAATGATGATTATTCATGTAATATTAATTAGAAATATACCAAAAGAAAATACCTTCCACTTCTCTATTAGGATGGTGGTTGTTTTGTTGCTATGTTGCAGCTAGAAACAACCATCATGCAACTAAAATTGTCCTAGAATTCTTTCAAGGAGGCACAGTGATAAAGTAATTCATCATCTTTTGAACAAAAAAAATGTATCTGATACAAACCATTTAAGCTGCCCACTAAAAGAAAACAAATATCATGTCAGCAAACTCACCACAAGTAATCTTTTTTTGTTCATTGGCATAAACCTTCACGATCTCCCCCTATAATACAGAAAAGTACAAGGCCACAGATCAAATCAAATGATTCCAGCATCCTACTGAAAGTAACAATAAGCAATCATTCAAATCAGCAAAGAGTTAAACCTGGGCACCTAGCTAATCCACTAATGGATAGGGAAGCCAACCCTAACCATGCTAAGTGTTAATTTTGTAACCAATAAAGGACATGTCCTATATAAGTGCACTGCAATTGCACTTCTTACTATTGCAAATGGCAGTAAAGATCCGCTCGTTTGGTTTTCAGAGTGGGAATATCGTGTGTCACACATTTGCTTCCAATTTACTAAATATATGAGATAGATAACAGGAAGTCACATAAGTGCAGGAAAAGCAAGTTGGAGTGGTGCTCTTTATCTGATTCTGAGAAGTGAAAGAAAATACAGGTCAAGCTATTGATTCCAAAAGTGCGAGAGATAAAAGCTGCCACATTGAAGTGATCAGCGCAAGACAGAGGGGATTAACCTTTCTTTTCCGGTCATCTAGAGGTTGGACTTCAATGGCTAGTAAAGAGTCCACATCATCAGCAGTAACTAAATAAGAAGGCTGCTTTGCACCTACAACAGGGAACAAAAATGCCATTTCAATCGTTTCATGTCATCAAAAAATGCAACAAAGTGCCTCTTAGAAGCATGCTTCTCTTGTATGATCAAGTGAAAAGGAATACCTTCTATGTAATTTACTGATCCATCCTCCAAATGCCGTACCCACTGTATGCACAAAAAGAAATTGCAAAATGGAACATTGTAGTGAGCTAAGATCAAATTCAAAATGGTGAACAAATTTGATGGTATATTGGAATGAGGAGAACAGTTATGAAGCACACCTCAAAATTACAACTTGTGGTCCCATTGATAGAGTAGCCACTTGCTTGAAGCTCTCTTCCAGGAAAAGCTTCACCTGTGATTCGTAGCCCTTCTATGGCTGGTAGTGGGTCATCATCTGCAGCTGCTTATTCATGAAAAATATGTTTTACAATAAGAGCCAAAGAAATACTAAGAAGAATATTCAATAAATATAATATATATAAATATGTAACACCTTCAGAGAAAGAAGAACTAGGCTCTTCAAGGACAGTAGGAAGATAAGGGTATGGCGGGTTCGCATCATCAACACCAGATGCCAAATTAGGTGAGCCCTCCGGACCCCATTGTGCAGGAGGTTCTTGTGAAATATGCGTTTCAGCTCCCTCCAGATTTTCTGGGACATCATTCCTAACGAGGTCCTTGAATGACGGATTCTGATTCTTGGATTCAAAGTTAAATCGGACAGCACGAGAATCATGTTCAGTTCCTTGAGCTACTACATCCTTCTTAATTTGGTTGCTGTAAAAAAAACAGATTGGGCATGGTAAGATATCTACTTTGCCAATTTGACTATCTGATTATTCAAAAATATTTGATCATCAAAGCGCATTGCTACATTTATGTGTAACAGAAAAAAAACACAAATTACACAATGGCAAACCATATCTTGGCCCATGGTGGGATATGACCCTAGTATTCCGAAGGCATGAAACTCTCTGTTATTTGCAAAGAGGGTGCCTTAATAAGCAACTCATCGGCACATGTTGTTTTCAATTCTTCAGTTGACAGTACTTGAAGGTGACATTTTACAAACAAATCCTATAGGCTACACCAAATATATGTGGTTTGCCACAGGGATGCATGCTTAGAAAAAGGGAAGTTAATACTGAAATAAAGTTACGAGGATAATAGAAGTCAAGAACTGCAAAGCGAAATGCAAACCCATGTAATAGTTCGGTTTGGCAAATAAAAGGAAGCACAAACTATGGTGATAGAGTTAGAATGAATTTAATAGAACTTAGGGAGCTGTACTCTTGATAGACAAATAACAACCTGCTTGACGGAGAGGTGGTTCCAACATTTTCATGCTCTGTATTTACTGCAGTAACCTCACTTGGGATAGCCTGATGGTTCTCATTCCCCAACAGATCCCAATCACGTCTAGCACGAACAGGAGAGGACATAGGAGATTGTACATGAGAATATGCTTGCTGGGGCACAATGTCAAGGTTGGCTTTGCTCTGCGGAATTTGAGAAGTTAGAACATGCAGCACTCAAAGAGTAAAGGAGAAAAGGGATTAAAGAGTCATACAGTGGTAACTATTGCATTTCCAGGAGGATGAGAAGGCGCCTGCACAGGAATATTTGTACTGTTTGAAGATTCAGCTCGCCAAGGTGTAAGCTGGTATTGTGATTCTTTCAGTTTCTCCTGCACCATCCAAAATTGCAAAGAATGCAGCTTCATTTTTCTATACAAAAATATCAGCGATAAGCTGTGCAAGAATAAAAAGCACACTACTAGCCAGGCTGTGAATGTATGCTCACAACCCAGGCTTCTCTTACAAGCTATTATATATAAAAGCAATGACATTTAATCAATTGGCACACCTCAGTAATAGCGAGTTTCTCTTGCAAATGCTTAAACAGGACCTACAAAAAGAAAAATAAGTGTTTAGTGAAAGGTCAACTTCAACTAGGTAAGGAACAAGATCAAACCCACTCGTGTACCTTTCCAACGATTATTCCCCACAAGAACAAAAATATGCAGTAATGCGCAGTAATATTACAATATTGGCATTAAAACAAAAATAAAGAAAAAGGATAGCTTGCTCTTATCCCACCTGACAAGAGGTCTGCAAGGAGTGGTTCCATGTTTGTTGTTAAGACAATTCATAAAAGATCTTATGTTAGAGAAGATATTTGTCTTTTATTTGTTGAACATTTTTTTATATTTAAAAAACTTCAGATCATAGAGAATCGCTATTGAAGATAATATAGATTTTTTTGGTGAAAACTTGGGGCTTAATCAAGAACAAACAAGGATATAATATTATCAAGTGTGCATAAGAGAGATGGCACATACCTTCAGATTGCTAACAATTGATTGAGCATCAAGAACAGAAGGCTGAAGGTTATATTCTGTCAAAAGAGGCAATAAAGAAGATACAAAAGTGGATCTCTCCTGATGTGCTGCCTATGAAGTAACAAAAGTAGAATTATATGTTAAATCACAAAAATTAGACTATGAACAATTCAGGAAGATAAAGAAAATCCATTGTATCATGTGTGATCAGAACCTTTACTCCTTCAGAGAAACGAGTAAGAGACGAAAAGAACCACTTCTATTTTATGGGCGGTTGCTACGATGTAGGTTGCACTATAACTTTGTTTACATGCATATACACTGGACAATCTACTTCCAATTTTAGGATACTTTATGTAGCAGAAAGGTAGCTCACCTGATATACGCCACAGATTACATCAGAAACTATAGCTATATGGAAAACAGATGCATCGGAATGGCTTCAAAATGTGTATTTGGTGAAAACTAGAGCATGACCATTGAGAATGTGATTCTGCACTCTGAATTTAGAGAGATATTATATTAGCAATATAAATTACCTGTAAGGCATATGTCAGACGGATATTTTCTTCAATAATGTCTTGTCTGTAGGATAAAGCTTTTGATGCAGCATCAACCAAATCTTGTTGCTGCTGATCGAATGCCTGAAAACAGATGCATTGTAAAATGGTGTTGTACTCCAAGAGATTTTTCAATACCTGATAAGACAAAATACTTACCATTCGCATGTATGCAATGCGTTTTTCCAAAACATGTTTCTCGTTGAGTATTTGTGCTTCCTACCAAGAAACATAAGCTGTCAAATACCTGGGAAAGGAGTAGAAAAAAGAATGTAGTGAGTCTTATTGTGCATAGCCACCTTCACAGAGTAGTCAGCAAGATGCCTTCTGAGCTGTGCGATCTCTTCTTCATGTTCTTTAACCTTAGCAAGAAGATCCTGAATAAGGAAATACCTTGATCAGAGAACAGCACAGCAGATGACATGTATGCCAGTGGCGGACAAATAGAATTATGTATACCTGTTTCCACATGATGGTAGAGTTTGCCTCTGAAGCAGGCAATAAGCACTGTCCAGGTAGATTGAACTTAGGATCATACTCTCCTTTGCGATGCCTGTAAGGGAAGGTGTATTATTTTCCTTAAAAGAAAAGGAGCAGTTGTCAGGGATGGAAAATGCTGGCAGTGAGGTACCTAGTTGGAGACAGGGAGCGAGATGACGGAGTAGAGAGGTGCGACGGCACACGACTCTCGGGCGCACTCTGCTCCCCAGATAGTTTCCTGGGCATTCCATTAGACTGGTCGGTATCTAGGTACTTTAGCTTGATGGCATCGTGCAGCATTTGGTCAGTGTGGTGAAAGAGTCCATTGTGCTGATCAGCTAGAGCGGTCCTGGAATTGAGCGACGAGGAAGTGGTACCGAAGCATGTTGAGGTCCCATGGGGAGAAGTTGAAAAGGTGTCGGCAAGAGAAGTGGGCTTGGTAGCCTCTGACCTCTGGCAGAGCAGCAGATGAATGCAAATCAATACTAGTACCTCCGACGAGTGTTGCAGTACTAGTTAGTTAGTTAGTTAGTTGTGCGATGCGGATGTACTCCATATTATTGTAAGGTGAGATTCGGGTGGAGAAGAAGAGACGGAGAGGAAAAGGGCAGATCGGGGAGCCGCTTACGAATCTGTCAAGCTCTCGCGTCTTGAGCATGAGCTCGTCCTTGAGGCGGCTGTTCTCCTCCAGCTGAGAGAGAGAGAGAGAGAGAGTGAGTGAGGGGGAGGGGGAGGGGGCAGAAAAATGAAAAATGAAATCGTAATGGGATAGGATACCTGCTGCCGGATGGTGGCCTCGGCGTCCTCCACGGCGCGCATCACCTGGAAGAGGTTGTTGTTTGCGCTGTCGGAGTCGGAGACCGCGACGGCGGCGAGCCTCCTGCCGAGCTCGTCGGCGTCGGCCATGGCCCCCACCACCACCAAGCTTGTGGATTCCAGAGATTGGTCAGACTACGATAAGGGAAAGAGGAATTATACCGACGGCGGCGGTGCGAAGGCGCCACACGGGCGGAGGAGGGGAAGGGACGCGCGGCAGCGACGACGGTGAGGATGGGGGGCGGCGGCGCGGCCGGGGAAGGGCCAAGATGCGGCCCGAACAACACGACACAGCCTTCTTCTTCTTTTTCTTTCTTTCTTTTTGGGCGATATGAAAGGCAAATTTGCTTCCATCCAGGCCATCTATACTTCAATCAACGGTTCCATTTCAGTGACTTACTCCATTTTAGCAGCCAGCCAATTAACTAGTAATAGAATTTACTCTCTCAAAAATATTCAAGAAAACAAACAATCAAATACAACTAATACCTCCCTCGCCTTTTGGAGCAACTTAAAGAAAAGATAAAATCAATAAATTGCAATTTTAGTGCAAGAATAATCATTCGTTTATACAATAGCAAAATAATTATCCCACCTCTGTATTAATCATCCACCAACTCTCTTGCTAAAAGCCCCCAAAAAAAACTTTTCTTTTCAAAAAAATAAATTATCTACATTGTATAGTAGTATTTTATCAAAACAAAACTAATAGGCAGAACTGATTCTATGAGGAATAGATCTTTATGGAGCATGTGGCTAAGATTAAAATCATGTCGGATGGAAATGGTGGGTAGTTTTAGTATTTAGATTGGAATGATAAAGGTGGTTAATTTTCATGGGATATGCTATTGTAGAGGATACTATTTATAAACAACTACAATACGATATCTTACAGGTATCAAATTTGGTATCAGGTTGTGACAGATCTAGTACCTAGATCCATTTTAGTTGTATATAAATCATAAGAAAGAGGGCATGCACACAATCAAACAAAACATAAATTACCTCTTCCAACTTTACTCTCACCCAATGCATGCCTATCTGTTAACAGTGAAATTTGGTAAGTCCGGAGTAGTCATCGGCTTAGAGTCAGCATCAGCTTCGAAGTCCTGAGATTAGCCGATGAGAGTTGTCAAGTCGTCAGTTATCGGATTCTTGCTATATTCGGTTAAGGAAATTGATCTACTAGAGGAAGCTTATCTAGAAGAGACCGAGTTCAAAGAGAATGCGGCATGGCAAGTTATCTATTAATTAGGAATAGTTTGTTAGTTTCCTTTTATCTTTAGGAAAGTGTGTTTAGTGTCCTATAAGGACTTTATCTTTTCCTTTTATCTTTAGGAAAGTTTCTTTCTTGTCCGACAAGGACTTGTATCAACCCATGGGTATAAATATGTACACCCGGGGTCTATGTAATTTATCGCTACGATCAATACAATTCGGCGCATCGCCACCTTTTACCTTTTCTACTTTATTTTATCGTCCGGCGGGACTTGGCACTTGACGCGAGGCTGCATCGGTGTTCGATCTCCGGCTAAGGGGTAAGTCCAATGTTCCGCCGGCCCAGGCAATTTTCTCATCTACATCGGCGTCGTTCAAGGCTGCATCAGTACATTCGACCTTTTGGATTGTTCTGGTTTGGATGATATATTTGCCTACCTATTTATCATATGTCTCTGTTAATCTAGTCTTAGCATATCAATTTAGCTCTATCGGCTGCTTCTCGTTTTAGGGTTTCTGCCGGTATCGGCTAAATCGCGTTGCTAGATTAGATTAGCTTAAACATCTACCACCCTAAAAACTCAGTCAACGGCTTGATTGTCTAGACATTATGTTTCTTTTCATACTTAGTGCTGCATCAGTTAAGTTTGATCTACTAAGTCGTGCTTAGAACCATAATCTCTAGCCTGCTTCTTGACTGCCAATAAGGGTTTCATCGGGGTTTCAGCCGGTGAGTTATCTTGACGTTGCATCGGCTCATAAGGATTGCATATACATATAAGTTGGATCTAGCCGATGACAACAAATGTTTCACTGTTTAATCTAATCTTGTGGATTTCATGACATCGGACCTCCAGCCGATGTGTGCTTTAACCTTCGAATCAACATTTATTCTATTATATTATTGTTAGCCGATTGGTTTCTACTGGATTATATTGCTATATTATATTATCATCAGCCGATTGCCTTTATATCATTATCTACATTGCACATATAGCTGATTGCTTAAACCCTATCGCTATCGGCTGGTATCGGCATCGGCTATTATCGGCTATCGGCTGGAACTACTCCATTGGCTTGTCAGCCGATCGGCTGTTTTGATCTACTATTTGCATATCTTGTCAGTTGCAGGATCAAACTGACTGGCATGCCCGCATCTCAATAACCTTTAGACCTGCACTGGAGTTAAGCAGATCTCCCAGGCCAGTGTGTTCGATTTTTTCATCAACACTATCAGAAGCTAGCTGACCTCTTTTGGCATCATCACCACACACCTCAACATGTCACCCCGCAAAATCCTTTCCTCATATTTCGTTTCTGATCGCTGACCTCTCTTGGCATCATCACCACACACCTTGAGATGTCTCCCCGCAACCTTATTTTCTTCTATTCTGTTTGTGATCGCTGACATGGCGGTGTCATATTGACATAGCTACCCCTGTGGGAGGCTTGGAAGAAAAAGACAACCGGTGACATCAGCTCATGGTTGCTTCAAGTTCTAGTCTCTTGGTGTTCATGTACGACTGTCTCGTCCAGCAAAGCATCAAGGTGAAGCTGTTGCCGGTGTGTGTGCCCACATCTATCACATCAACATGAGTGGTAATCGGGGCAAACGCCAACGGAGAAATCAGCGAAGAGCCAGATTCGAGGAGGCGTTGGCTTGACGAATTAGTAACAGCAAGGTGCGACTGCGACGGAGGTGAGAGTTGTGGCTCAAACTTAGCACATCGTTGTGTATGAGGTGATACCGCCCAGAGGATAGGATCCCGTCCTCTAGCATTTCCGTAATTTTAAAAGTGTAGATTTGGTTTCACCATTATTTGTAAGGAAGTAATATAATGAAGTGCTTGCACGTATAAATATGATTTTAGTTTTATTCACAATGTATTGCAAATGATAAAACAATGGAAGTCTAGCATTTACGTGTATATATATAGAGATTTTCATGTGCCAATCAGATCAATTGATAAAGTTTGAAACAATGCATGCATGCATGGTAGATCCTGGCCTGAATAGAATAGCATATTACTGCTATATACATCTATTTTTTTTAGATAATGGAATATAATATCCCGGCTTTTACTCAAAAGAGCTACAGCCAATTATTACATAGTAGTTTTCATGAACATAGTGTAAATCTAAATGAATAGAACACACCGAAGATCACTATTATTGAAACCAGCCTAACGTAAGGAGATCACAATTATTGAAGTCTATTTGTAAATCTCCAACCATAATTAGCAAATAGTTGCATAACCGTGGTCTCCAACTTTCGGCATGCAACCTTCAGAAACTCTTCATCTTCATCATACCTTTGTAGTTGTGCCTAAAACCGGAGCCAATGAGTTACCCTGAAAATAACCTGCATATAGGAAAATGATGGTGATTTGTCAAAAACCATATCGTTCCTACTCAGCCATATTGCCCAACAAATGGCAGAAGCTCCAACAAGTATTAGTTTACTTATTTTCTTATCAACTCCCAAAAGCCACCCATTAAAAATATGGCATATGCTAACTGGAAGATTAAAACCAAAAGAGAACTGAACTGCTCTCCATAGAAATTTCGCAAAATGACAATCCATAAAGAGATGTTGAATAGACTCATTCTTCAAACAAAAAGAACACCTCAAGCTGCCATTCCAGTTACGCCTTGCCAAATTATCCTTAGTTAACACAACCCCTTTAAGCAGGTACCACATGAAAATTTTAATCTTAAGTGGCAACTTAAGCTTCCAAATACACTTGTTTCTCTCGATATAGCCATTATTAATTAAAGCTAGGTACATAGACCTCACCGAGAACAAGCCATTCTGATGGAAATTCCATCTAAAACTATCAGACAAATCATTCAACTGAATATGTACTATAGAGGCACACAACTGATGCCAACAAACAAGATTCTGACCAACTAAAGCTCTCCTGAAAGAAATATTAAGCGGAACATATCCCATAACAGTGGCAATAGAAGATGTTTTCCTCCGAACAATTACGTACAAAGATGGATATTTGCTATATACATCTATAAATCTGCAGATGATGATGAAGTTGCGAGGGGTGAAGAAGGGGCAAGCCAATCTGATAGCGAGGGGCTTCTGCGAAGGTCGGCTGCTGGCGAGGATATCGCCGAGTCCGAAGAAGAAGAATCATCTGACTCTGACGTCGAGACGTCGGAGTGGTTATCATCGTCGTTGCGGCTTCCTCCTGAACGAAACGTGGACGCCGACAGGCTGCAGCAGATGGAGTTGCATTGTGCCAATGCCGATGCGGAGCAGTTGCTATCTTCTTGTGCTGCTGCCTCCTCCCTGGTCATCATACTCATGGTATCATCATCTTGAGGTGGTGCAGCAGCGCGATCAGCCGCAGCCGGAAGGGCGCCACAGCGGCGCTTGATTTCCAAGTAGCCGCTGGCAACGAGCAGGACGACTACGACGGCGGCGAGACTGCTGGCGCTGACCTCCGCCGTCATGCGCACCACCGCCTCGGCTACCGCTCTTGCCACCTGCTCCAGCTGCTGCTGCATCGTCGTCGTCTCGTCGATCGATCTGCTTAATTATATATTTTGGTACCCTAGCTAGCTAGCTACTCTTCTTTAATTTAATTATATGACTTATCTTATCTACGGTATAGTACGTATATTTATATATGTAGTAGTAGTTATACATTGTTTATACGATGATCCGACCCGACTCTCAATCGAGAAGCCCAAATGAATACGATTCGTTCCTTGATACGCGGCTAGCTAGTTACATGCCTGTCTTATCTCATCACGTATATAATAAGCCATTATATATACCTTCTGTTCAACATAATTAAGATCCAACATGGCAAAATAGAAGTAACGCAAACAACAAATTTAATTGGAACTAGTATAGGTGTGCTCATAACCAAATTTGATTTTTTTTTAAAAAAAATGTAAAAGTGAAATTTAAACTTGCATATTTGTTTAGTGATATATCACATATTATTTCTATGTTATTAAAACAAGTATTTTTGTAATTATTTAGATGACATGCAAAAAAGAGAGTAGACATCCCCTCGAGGGACTAAGAGGGTAATATTGTACTTTTACATCCCTATTACACAAGATGATAACATAGATGGCATATAGGGGAAGAATAAGTTCAAGCAGTCGCATATAAAGGGATAACAAATTTTCGATGGCATATAAGGAAACTCGTGAACTTTAATTGGCAAATAAGAAATTTTCTCTTTAAATTTTGGTTGCGGTTTAGAGCATGACCCTAACACCAATCCCTTAATCTTGTGTTTCAAGCAAAAATCAATCTACAAAGGTAGCTCTAAACTCATTCCCTTCTCCTTAAATCTAGCTTTCCACAAGTTGGGAGAGGCAATCGCTCCAATTGCAAGTTCGTGCACACCAAGAGGAGGAGTTGCACACGGGAGTACAAGAAGAGGTCCGATTTTGTTACGAAGTTTCTCGCATGACTCAATTTTTTTGAGAAGTTAAATTTGACTATGTTGGGAGGGGAGGATATTTTTATCCCTTGAATTCCATTAGAGATTCTCATACAAAAGATTTTAGGGGATTGAATTTTGGCACTTTGTTGGTGATGCTCTTATGAGGCAATAAGCGGATGATGGGAACTCAACATGCTATCTTCTCCGCATATAAATAGGGGAGTCTGAAAGTTGTTGATAGGAAGATATAACAATATTAGGGATTTAGGGGCGGATACTGAGCTAGATCGGTTTGACTTGTTAACCTTAGAGAACTAAAAGCTTAGCTCAGCTCAGCTCACGAGCTTGTTCGTTAGGCTCATTAACGCATTTATATCACCTTTATATTTTTAATTTACCATTTATCATATATAAATTTAATAATAAACATTAAATAATAGCGAAGATATGGTAATTAAAGGCTAAATCTATGGTTAAGAAGCAGTAAGTGAAGATATGGTGATATGTGGTACCATAATGAGCTAAATGAGCAGCTCACAAGCTGGCTCGTTAAGCTCACTAGCTAAAGCCTAGCTTGGTTCGACCCATTATGACTACGAGTTCAAGTAGATCCAAGCCGATCCAAACCACAAGCTTTAAACTTTTTCTCCACCGTGTATATGACGCATTCAAAAGCATCTCATGACAACCCATATAAAGAGAAGCTCTTATGATATAGTATCTATAGTGGCCTCATTTGCTAGTGCTATTGTAGCTTTATTGCTACTGCGACTACAGTACCAACAATACAAAATGAACTAATGTTGTTGCAGCTAGCTACGCCAAGCAGGGCCATGATCTCTCGGTCAGCGTGGCCTCTATGCATTAACTTATAAGTTCTAAGTTGCTCCATGAAAACTCTTACCCCTTGTCGTCTCACATCTTTTATGTTCTCCTTTGCCTCGATGGCTCACCATCGTCGACTTGGCTACAAGTTCCTGCCCCTATCGACATGTTGGCCAAGCTCGATCCCAACTCCACCGGCTTTGTTTTCCGCAAGCTACTACTCTTCGAGGTATACCACATCTAATAGTTTAACCGCAGGAGGGGGTGTATTCTAGTTGGGGTTGCGGATCTGTTGAAAATGGGATGCAAATTGGGCCATTCTGGCCTAACCTATTTCTGATGTGTCAGACTGTCACATTTATATAGAGCACCACCCTACACGTGATCAGGAAAGGAAAAAAGAAATATTTCCATATTATAACTCTAGAATAGTATATTTTTAAAGATAGAAATATGTTTTGTTTTTTTAGAAAAAAAGGTTGAGATATCATGTCATTGTGAAGCAACAAACAAGCAAAGAAGGTGAGGTGGGGTTCAAATCAGATGTATGGGTTACGTGGCTTAGTATTTTGCACGAACACGACACGATCACAAGACTGACTTGGGTTCTCTAAGCTTACCTTGTTGGCTTCCCCACCTTCGGCTCATCACCGAGACCGAACCCAAAAAACTGAACTCCGTCAGTAGTTCGGTCATATGATCTCCAAGACCAAGATATATTCGTTGAGTGTGATCATCTTACGTTGTGGACTGAAGTAAACAAAATGACCAAACCAACCCAACTACCACATCCTACACTGGACGCTGCTTGTTATCGTGCTAGGTGTTGCTTGCACCTTGGAAAGTTGGTTCGCATCTTGCCTTCATCTAGTCCTTCACAAGGCCAGGCCTCTGTGCATTCTCCTAGCCGTCTTGGTTATCTCCTACACAGATGTCAATTGAAACAACCAAATCAAACCAGATCTAGCTAGAGTTGTGGAAGGACGTGGCCACAGAGGTATAGATGGCCATAAGACCCGCCCGACACGGCCCGCCTTAGGCATGCACTAGGCACGACCCAAGGCGATCGAGTCGGCACGGCACGGTCGGCACTTCGGGGCGCGCCGTGCCTGTCCATGGGTTGCACCTCAAGCCCAAGCATGGCCCATCAGCGGTTGGCCCATGCCGTGCCTGCCCGAAGGCACAGGCGGCCCTGCCTTATTTGAAATAAGTCTATTTCCCCTTCCTCCTCTTTGGGTTGTGAAATAAGTCTATTTTATGTCCCTACTCTTTGGACCGTGCCATATAATACATCTATTTTTCCTCCCTATTTTTTGTGATGTGCCTTACATGGTTGAATTAAGTCTGTTTTGCATCCCTGAACTTCGTGCAGGGCCGTGACGGCCCAGCGTGCTGAGGTAGCAGCCCAGGCACGACACGGCTATCGGGCCGAGCCGGCACGGGCACGACCTGAGTCGGGCCGTGCCGTGCCTGGGTCGGGTCATATGGCCATCTATACGCGGAGAGGACACCTTGGATTCCACTAGCCTAGCAAGTCCCAATTGATACGTCGGCTAGATCCCCAACTCCGAAGTTATGTTCCCCTTATGTTATACTCCCTCCGTTACAAAATGTTTGACGCCATTAACTTTTTTAAACATGTTTGATCATTCGTCTTTTAAAAAAATTAAGTAATTATTAATTCTTTTCATATCATTTGATTCATTGTTAAATATACTTTTATGTATACATATAGTTTTACATATTTAACAAAATTTTTTGAATAAGACGAACGGTAAAACATGTTTAAAAAAGTCAACGGCGTCAAATATTTAGGGACGGAGGTAGTATTAACAATCGTTGAGATGTGTTGGTTTTATTCGTCTAGCCCAATCTGACCGTGACCTATTCTGTTGCCATCTCTATGCAAGATACAACCAGTTCTCTGTTATCCAATGAGAAAAGGAAAGAAGTATTTTCTTTGAAGGTAGGAAAATCTTAGCATTTTTGCAAGGAAGGAGTGAGAGAAGGAGGTTCGGTTCGGATCGGATATAGTGCAGCAGCATATAGGAGAGAGAGGTACGTGGTTGAGCAGTGTCTGTGTTTGGCACGTCCACGACAGCACGAGACGGGTTGGGGACTTGGGGGGTTGAAGAAGCCAAGCTCTCCTTGGTTGGCGCGCACGTACGTTCGCTTCGCTTCGATTCGATGGCCACTGGTGACCCAAACCCTACCACCACTCCGCCGTCGCAGCAGCTGCAAGGTCTGATTCTTGATTCCCCCGCACATATCTGATTCTTGATTTGATTGGAATTTGGAATTTGGAAATTTGGATTGGGTGGTTTGACTGACAGGAGTGGTTGCAGGAGCAGATCCCCAACCCCAATCCCAGCAGGATGCCGCCGCCAACGCCACTCCGGCGGCCGTGGCCGTGAGAGAGGATTATGTCCAGAACGCCGTCAAGTTCCTCTCCCACCCCAAGGTCAGGGGCTCCCCCGTCCTCTACCGCCGCTCCTTCCTAGAGAAGAAGGGCCTTACCAAGGACGAGATCGACGAGGCCTTCCGACGAGTCCCCGTAAGTGTATCATCTCATACTCACACCCCCCCTTCTTTCTTGGGTCTTTCAGTTTTGCTACCGCTAAATTGCTTGCCCTCCTACACTACAGGATCCGCAACCCAGCGCTACTGCTACTGCTGCTGCTTCCCCTTCGCCTTCACAGCACCGTAAGCTTAACCTTCTTTCTTCTTCTCTACTTAGTTTGACATACTTAGCAATATACTTATAAGAGCACTAGTCTTCTTTCATCCCACCAAATATCCACCTGTTATGATTCCATCCACTTCTTGTGTCGAGTCAAACAATGGTACCTGCACAAATTGTGTCTCATAGCTAAAGTGTTTACAAGGACCATTCAGATGTATGTACTCACCTTCTTACCTCCATGTCGATCATATGCCTTGTCTTGCTTGCTTTGCTGCAGCCAACAACCAGAACCACTCTTCTACCGTTGTGCAACCTTATGCACCAAGGCAACCAGCAACACCTGCTGGCTCTATTATTGTTGCCACACAGCCCAAGTTCAGCTGGTACCGTGCATTCGTCGCTGCAGGGCTATTGCTTGGTTTTGGAGTTAGTGCTGCTGTGTTTGTCAAGGTATCTTCTGCTCACCTCTCCACATATCTGAAACTTTTCAACTCACTGATTCATCCATAAATCAAATTTGCATGTCTTGCATAGAAATTGCTCCTTCCTAGGCTTAAGTCTTGGATCCGCAAGGTCGTAGCTGAAGGTGATGAAAACGAGGGCAGGCAAATTAAGTCCAAGATCGATGAGGAAACTGCTGAAGCTGTAAAAGCTTCTGCATCTGCTGTTTCTGCTATTGCCAAAACTAACCAAGAATTGCTTGCTTCAAAGGATGAAGGTTTCACAGTGCTCCCCTTTGTTGTTGGCTATCCCAATTCATCTAAACATACTTCATATTTTATATATTTTCTTATATCACTCATTCTGATTATTGCATGTTTGTTGACAGAAAAGAAGATACTTGTGACATTAACACAAGCACTAGATTCCCAAGCAAAAGAATTGAAATCCTTATGTGAGTCTCTGAACCATAGCAGGGATTCTATAAATATTACCAGGGAAGATAGGTTTTCTCAGTACCGGGCATTGGAAGAGCATGCCCCTTCTGCTGCAAGGAATGGTCAGTACCTAATTTCTCCATCATTTTATAGTTAAGTGCTTGTTTCTTTGCATACAATCGCATTGCAAGGTTAGCCTAGGTATGCGGAAAAATATATGGTGGAAACCACATATGTAGTGGAAACCCGGAAACTACTGTTGGATTGAAAAATAGACGTCTGAGATTTGTCCATGTCATCACGAGTAAAAATTTTACTCGCAGATTTACTCATGAGTAGAAATTTTATTTGGTGTCATGGACGAATCTCGTACATCTATTTTTCGATCCAACGGCAGTTTCCAGATTTCCACTACATATGTGGTTTGCACTACATACTTTCCCTAGGTATGCTGCAACCATACTGGCAGGAGACTATAAATGCTACCTTTGCCTATTACCGAAAGCATTCTTTATTTTTCTTCTATTGTTTGGCATCACTTCATTTTACGATTGAATGTAATTATTAACCCTGATAACTATGAGTCTCACCATATTGTTTGCGACTTTTAGGGCCAGTTAACACTCCATGGAGAGCCTCTCAGGTGTGTTGTACATTGTTCCTTTTCCACTCCAATAACGTGATCAAGATAACAGGAATATCTGACTCATTTCCCTTTTTGTAGCAAACTAATATGTATGGTGTGCCAAACAGTGATTTTGGCTCAGGTCAGTAAAACTTCAAGTTCCTTCCTGCTCTCTCTCTCTCTCTCTCTCTCTCTCTCTTTGTGCGCGCGCGCCTGGTGTGTCTCTGGTGTTACCCTACTTTTCCCAACCATTAGCTGCTTGTTTGAGCAGGGAGGCCTTCATTTGCGTCAACACATAATGAAGCTACACCTGGATCATTTTCAAGATCGTACGTTGAGGTAGGCAACTGATCACGCTGTAAATCAAGATTTGCTGAAATTAGCTGGGCATCAATTTTAGGCACAATTTAGTGTTTTGTGGTGCCCATGTCACATTACTTCCTTATATCTCAAAAGAAATAATTATTTCCTATCTAGCCTTTAACAGTATCACATTTCAGCCAATGAACTCCTTTAAATCATAACCAAATATCGCACATCAACCAATAAATTTGTCGAGCAATATACCTTCTTTTCATATACTAGTACCTTTCTAAGCCCATGGCAAGCTGTTCAATTGTATTTAGCTGGTGCGGCCCTTTAGGTCATTTTTATAAACTGGGCTATTTTTTTAACCCTCAGATGAATAGATTTTCTCAAAGTAGTACAGCTCGATCTTCAAATATAATATATTTCTCATGTTTAACATACTTTTATAGCATTTCTAATAGCTCAACTTGACCTGCTTTCAAGTTTCAAGATCTGCCATCAATATGTTACTATGTTACAACTGTGTTCTACCCTCTGTAAAAACAAGACTGCACTAATCGATCATGCTCCTGTGTATGTACAAATGAATAATAATGTCATTAGTTCATTTTTGTCATCTTCCTTGTGTTGCCCTTTTTTGCGGGATCTTCTGTTGTGGTTATGTGCGGTTAACGCTGGAAGAATGCCTCCTACTGGACCTTGATCTTCTATCCTAATTATTTCTACTATCTTAATAATGTTTATGCTTTCTGCAGACATCTGCTGCACACCGAGGGGATAATAGGTCTTCAGGGAGTAAGGTGTGGTCCTGAACCTTTATTTTCTTTTGCTGTAACATGAGGAACTTGGAAGCTGACATTTAAAGGCTTTGCATGATGAAAAACTACAGCCATGGGAGATGCAGCAATACTCACAGCAGAGGATTGGCTATGGATCCAACAGCCAGTTGAGTGATGACGGATGCCCTGAAACTCAGGACAACTATGGCGGGGGACCTTCGTATTCGTATCACCAGAATCAGAATCAGAACGGGAAGGCTCCGGCTCCGGATATTCAAGCAGAGGAGGCCAGGCCATCGGTATACATAAGTGGGGCTGAGGAAAGGTCGCCTCCGCCTCCGCCTCAGCGCCGCTGGGTTCCCCCGCAGCCTCCGGGCGTTGTGATGCCGGAAGCTGTGGCTGCCATCCGTCAACCAAAGTCCCTCGCAAAGCAACCGTCGAGCGAAGCTTCTCAAGAGGCAGCCGGCGAGACGCATGCCAACGGTGCTTCAAGTTCGTCGCCTCTTCCTGAAGAGGCGCTTGTTAATGGCAGTGACGCCGGACGTAGTGAGATCGAAGAACAAGCAGAAGCCATCTAGAAACAATTTGTTTTAAATTGGGACGAGATGATGTTGAGAAGCTGGAATATGTATTTATTTTGGATCAGTACGGGAACGCCTACTGTGGTAACAGAAGATCTCGATTTGTGGTCGAGTTTATACTACACTACGTCAAATAACAAGTGTTGCTACTAGCTGTGACTGTGAGTAATACCGATACATTACATTACATTACATACATACACGGTGATTAAAACAAACAAGCAGACATTTTTACTTGGTTATGTTATGACAGGCAGAGATGGCATATGTTAAGGAAGGATAATCTTTGTTCCTTCTTCTCCGCTTGATGTGTCGCTTGTTAATAGCATGGCAGTCGACGATCATATCAGATGTGATCGATGCTATGGCAAACCCAGTAAACGAACAAGAGATAAATTAGAGGCAGACTAGTGAGGAGGTGCATATAAGCATAGATCCATACATTCATGCAACTCTAGAGCCATACATTAACAAGTGGAGTGGTTAACATGAGATGATGCGGAGATTAGCAGCAGCTAGCTACCTTAATTAGTAGATACTCCTAAGGTAGGAGGAGTGAGTACTCCACAGTGGGGAAGCAGATGGAGCTTAGTGGCGATTGGCAGGGGTAGTGGCAGAGAGCATCTTGTCAACTTTGGCCAAAAGGCCTCGCATCTCTCCCGCAAGCGCAAGCTTTGCTCCATGGTCATGGCTAGCGGTAGCAGTAGCTGTAGGCGAGCGGCCCAGCAGTGAGGAGATCATCTTCTGGAGATTGTTCCTAACATCCGTGAGTGGGAGCCTGATTGTTGTTGTTGGAGTAGAAGCTGCTGCTGCTGCTTCTTTCTTCTTCTTCTTCTTGGTTTTACTAGTAGTCTCCTCCTCCTTTTGGCGGCTGCTGCTTGGATTGAATTCAGCTTGAGCGTTGATACCTGCATTAATAAATGAGGCTCAGGCAGCAGCATTCAAGATAAAAGAGTACAAGAAGAAGAGATAGATATCCTATGCTATGCTAGTATATACTGTACTAGAATGAATATAATGGATTGAAGTTGCTTACGGGTTGAGGAGGAAGAAGGGGAGGTGGTCTTGTGCAGGGTAAAGAAGCGGCGGAGCAGGTGGACATTGGCAGCATCCATGTCCAAGAGCGCGGCGGCGTGGAGCGCCGACAGCATGTCCGCCACGGCGACATTGGTGAGGTCCTCCGACTGATCGGAATCGGATACGGACACGTCGTCTTGGACAGTGACTGTAGTGAAGGGGAAGGTGTAGGGAGGGGAGAGGTACCTGCTCCTCTTGCGCGACCGCTTCTCCAAATTCTTCTCCATGGATATCTCCATACTCATCGACTACTAGTATCTCTCTTCGAGTTCGATCTCAATGGCACCGTTTGGACTTGGGAGGAGACGTCGACTAGTGAGACTAGTAGTGAGGACTGAGGAAGAGGGGATCGAGGGATTGGCAGTCCTTGAGACAGACAGAGGTTGCGCGTGTGTGGAGCTGCCGGGTTGCTCCACGTCTACAACTCAACACCTTTTTCTCGTCTCTACATTTTTAGAGAGAAAAAAAACAACCTTCTAATTTTGTAGGGGTTCATTATTCATTTAGGCTCTTATTAAATATCAATAGCTAAAAAGGGGAATAAAACAATCCATCAATTTCAGCTATCTCAAACCAGACAGGCCATAGCAGTAGAACAATCAATATTGGCGTAGGAGTTCCTTTTGTACAAAACAAACAGCTTTTCAATTTTGTACAAGTTAATTCTTTCATTTAGGCTCTTATTAAATATCAATAGCCAAAAAGGAAATAAAATAATTAATCAATTTCAGCTTAGACTGGAAGACACTCTAAAGTGAAAAGCGCAAGATGCCAACTGCACGACCTGATGCTGCTCAAGTTACATCCATCCATCTTATAATTCGTAACCAACATACAGTATTAATTAGGAACTCGACCGAAATGAAACACTAGTAGCAAACAATTCGAGCCGGACTTGCAGCAGCAACACGGGATAAAAGGAAATTTAAGGAAACGAAGCCGGCCACCACCACCGATGAATGCATACTGTAGTACTCTACAATAAATTGCATCATCGAGATGAATGGATTTAATAATGGACTACATACAGCTCTGGTCTATTCAGCACAGCGGCAATTGATGAGAGAATACATGTATGTATGCATCATGATGATGATGATTTGATTTATTTCTTGTTGAGGTCGATGCCGGCCTTTTTGGCGACGGCGTCGAGGCCATGCTTCTCGATGGTCTTGAGGGCTTTGGTGGAGAGACGCAGCTTGACGAAGCGCTTGCCTTCCTCCCACCACAGCTTCTTGTACTGCAGGTTCACAAACTGCTGCTTCTTCGTCTTGTGGTTTGAGAAGGACACCTTGTTCGCCCTGTTGGTCTTCTTGTCCGTGAAGGGGCATATCCGGCCTGAGTCACCCACCCCCACATCATACAACAACATCACCATACACGCCATCTTGTTCCTACTACTACTAGTTTCTATAATTTGTGGCATCATGCAAACAAAAGATAAAGTATAATCTCACCCTTTTAAATTACTTGTCCTTAACTTTATCATAAGCCAAACATTTAATATCATAATATTTATGTGTTTATATATGCATCATGAAAAGTACCTTCATAATATATAGTACAATTAACATGTTGTTAAACTTTACAAATTTCTAGAAATTGATAAGTCACAATTATCTTTTTAAATAAGAAATTGATAGTTAAAGTTATGAATGGTTGACTTAGAATAAAACTAAAACTATAACTTGAAATGGCCAGAATAGTTATATTTTTTCTTTTCCCCCTTCTTTCTTATATACACTAGTAAGAAGAAGAAGCTCTGCTTATGTCTTAGAGAAACAAAGAGATGGTTGTCAGACATAAACAAGCAACCATTTCAAATATATTCTAAACAACCCTGTTAAATTTCACTTGGCGCAAGGATATTATTGGCCTTAAGTTAGTGGCGTGGAATCATCTCTTTCCACGCATTGCTAATATAGTGTTGTCACACGAGAAAGATGACTTTAAATTGAATCTAACACCTGATGGAAGATTCTTGGTTAAAACTCATTATCTTGCACATACAAGAGTTCCCAATTTTAACAAACATATCTAGAAGTTAAAAATCCCTCTCAAAGTGAAAATGTTTCTATCGTATTTATGTCGAGGGGTGGTGTTAACAAAAGATAACCTGGCTAAACGGAATTGAAAAGGGAATAAGACCTATTGTTTTTACCACAAGGAAGAAACGATAAAGCATTTATTTTTTGAATGTCGGCTAGCCCGATCAGTTTGGTCTTTAATCCAGATTGCATCGAACATTTCTTCACCTAGGAGTGTGTCACATATGTCTGGACAATGGAGTTTGCGACAAAACAAAGAGTCTAGGCCTCCTTTTCTACTAGGAGTTGACTTGTTGGGCTATTTGGCTATAAAGGAATGATGTGATTTTTGACAGGAAAATTGTTTCTTCTTCTTTGCAGGTTATTTTCTTGATCACACATTGGCTCCGATCATGGATTATTCTCAAGAAGCCAGATTACAGGGGTTTTGTCTGTTCGGCTTGTCTTCATTTGGAGCATGTGGTCAAGGTTTTTTTTTTTTACCCAGGCACATGAGCGGCAACCTAGTCTTCCGATATTAGGTCCTTAATCGTTGAGTTAGTTCTGTTTTTCTTGTTGTGTGGTATCTATTGGTTGTGCACTGACATGGTGCAAAGAACGACCAAATTCAATAAAGCTTCCATTCTCTTAAAAATACAAAGAAAGATCTGAGTTTATGGTAATAGATTGACAGCTAGTCTATTTTCGAGAGATTAAAGCAATCAATTACTAACAAATAGGTCATCTGGTTCTAGTAGTAGTATATATACAGTGGAGTATTGGATAGCGCAAAAAAAAAACGAAGGATAAAGTAACAACTTTAATAGTAGCAGAAATGACATTGGTGGTGTAATATAAAACTGTAATGTCAATCTGCGGGTGGATGGCTCGAAACAGAGAGAAGAAGGAGGAGGCAGATGACGTACGCGCGAGGATGGGGTGGAGCTTGGGACCGGCGGCGGAGGGCGCGGTGGTGGCTGCGGCGGAGAGGCCGAGGCTGAGGCCGGCGAGTTGCGAGGTGGCGAAGCCGAGAGAGGAAGAGGAGGAGGAAGTGCGAAGGAGCGGAGCCCTGGTGGCGGGCGTGAAGGAGCAGAGCATGGTCGCCATCGCCACTGGAGCCTGGAGGAAGAAGAAGAAGAAGAAGAGGATCAAGTCTTGTGCGGCTGCGGCGTGGCGTACAACTTGTTTCTCCTATCCTATCATAATCGTCTCTCTATGTACTGTGTGAGCAGGGGCCCATATATCGTAGTACTGTAGAAAAGGGCGGCCCAAGCCCAACTCTCATTACTACTAGTATTACTCACAGTGATAAGTCCACTTATTATCCCTTATTTTACGTCGAGTTTAATGGTATCTCTAAACCGCAATACCAGCAATCTTCACCCCCTCCCCCCCATTTTGGAAAAACCTTCCAAGTCAGTCTCATGGTATTATGGATGACTGGTTTCACTAACGTGGCATACCAATCAGAAAATTAAAATTTAAAGTGGACTTCCTCCCAACCTGTCCCCTCTCTTCCCCATCTCTCCACCTCCCCCCTCTCTTTCCCATCTCCTCCAGTGGGGAGAGGGGCGGCGGCCAGCGAGCCCATCCACGGGAGGTGGTAATGGTGGTGGGAGGTCAGTGATGAGGTGGCTCCAGTGGTCCACGACGGGGGAGAAGAGGAGGTAGGTGAGGGAGCCGGCGAGTTCGAGCTCATGAGCTATCTGCAGGAAAGCCCAGTCGTGTCAGGAGTGTGAGGAGCCGCGGGGATGGGAAGGGGGTGCTGCGGTGGTGGCGGCAAAACTTGAGCTCAAGCGGTAGTGATGAAGATGAGTACGCATGCGGAGGGTGACGTTGTTGATGGAGGTGTTGGGGAAGAAGCAAGTGAACTAGAGGGACAATGTCGTGTCGCACACCACCAACTCCCACACATTCTCGCGAGCATCCAAGATGGGGACAGTAGCAAAAGTCTGGCTCCCACTTCCAGATCCCCTTCGCATCAACCTCCATTCCAGATAGCACACTTCTACCCACTGGTCCACCTCCTCCTCTTCCTCATACTCCTCCACATCGCTCTTGGGCTCCTCCTCGTTGATGGCTTTTGAAGTGGAGACAGTGGAGCTCTCGGAGGAGACAGACCGGCATGCTCGCGACGACATCGCAACACCGGGTCGAGGTCGAGCCGGCCCCTACTTCTCTTTTCCGTCTTCAAGAACAGCCTCCTTGACTTCCGCCCACCCATCCCTCGCCGAAGGAGCTATCAAAGAGGTCACCCGAGAAGATGTGGAGTTGATTCTCTCCTCCTTGATGGCCAGGAAGACAGGAAGAGGACCCTCTCGCAGGCGGTGTGGAGGATTGTTGTCTGTCCTACCAGTGTTGGTGTGTGGTGGACCGACAAGGCTCCTCTAACTTAAGTCAAAGGGACATGCATCTCTAACATGTGGGCCTATAAAGGTGGGCCGCACCTGTCAAGGACTCATATCCTTCTAACTTTAAGTCAGAGGAGCTCCTTTCGTGGTGGACGAATGAACTCGTCGGCGTGTGAGAACAGAGAACTGACACTAAATGATGGAAGTGATATGGATTGAAGAAATTTGCAGTTTTAGTAGCAAAGTCAAAAGTGGTACGAATTAAATAGCATATCATGAAAGTGCTCTGAATCGGATGGCAAATACTGAAAATCCTCTGTTTATTTTGGCCATGGGCGTCCCGCACCCTGCTATGCTTCCTCTTCTCCTCCGCCACCATCGTCACGTGTCCAACTATTTGTTTCTTTCTTCTTCCTCACCGATTGCAAATTTACCATGAATAGTCTTGATACATCTACTCCAGATAGCAGGTCTTTTTTATTTATTACAAATAACAAAGGAATATCCTTCCTCCGAATTCCATCTCTAGGCTATTAGTTACAGTACAATACCGCTAGTTTCGAATAAATTGACAGCAGTTTTTGTTAATACTACCTTACTAATTAAACAGATAAAGTAGCTAGGCAGCCACGGTCCACAAGTCATCATGAAGAATCTAATTAATCTGGAACATTATCAAGAATTGTGGATGGGTGTGAGCAGAATGGGGCATCCGTTCTTTAACCTGGGGAACATTGCCCATTTCTCAAGGCTTGGATCGTCATCTGCCATCTCCCATCTGAAATCAGCACAGCAGTGTTGTTGTAATCGATTACAAGAGTCGACGAGATAGAGAGCATCATCTGGTTTCTGGTACTCCAGTACCTAACCTACCTGAAATTGGTGAGAAGGCGGTGTAGGAAGATAAGCATCATGATCTTGGCGTGGTTCATCCCCAGACATGTCCTCCCGCCTGCTCCAAATACCAGCAGCCTCCTCTTCTGTGGTTGTGCACGCCCAAGCTTCGCATCATCTCCCTCTCCCTCTTCCTGCAGACACTACAACAGTTGCTTAATTCAGATTCAGATAGTAGAAAAATGTAGAGGCAACCAAGCAAGTAAAGAAATTCGTACGTACGTCGAACCTAGAAGGATCAAACACCGTTGGGTTGTCGAAAACATCCGGGTCGTAGTGGAGAGACCTGGCGTCAATATTTACAATCCAGTCCTTCTTTATGTGAAACCCTGTATATACATACATGCAATGTCAAAATTACTCAGCATGTCAAGTGTACTACTTTCTCCGTTTCACAATATAAGTCATTCTAGTATTTCCTACATTAATATTAATATTAATATTAATGAATCTAAATAAATATATATGTCTAGATACATTAATATCAATATGAATGTGAGAAATGCTAGAATAACTTACATTGTGAAACGGAGAGAGTAGTAGTATAAGCTTAATTAATTTCCTTGAATTCGTATTGAGCAAGACATTAATAATAGTATACTGTAAGATACTACTCCAGTCACCTGCAACCTGGCAGTCCTTGAGCGCCACCCTTGGAAACCAGGAAACTATAGTGGCCATCCTCAGCGACTCTTTCACTGCCTGATGAAATATTATGTACTCACAGCTGAAGTTAAGCTTTACAGTAAGAAGTAGGAATAATTAATTAAGAAGCTTGCTAGTACTACTCCAATTAGCAAGGGGATGCAGGGGAGAAGGAGTACCTACCTTGTACGCATAGTCCATGGCGTTTAGGTGTTGCATAGTAAGAGAATAATCACCCTTAAGCTCCAGCCGAAATGCTTCTGCCTGCACAGTACAATTAATTAATTAATTATGCCCATGTATGTGAGGTACTCCTATATGTTATGTAAGTGTATTGATTGAATTGAAAATTTGAAGAAAGAAAGAAAGAAAGAAAGAAAGAAGAAGATAGTTGACCCGTAGCTTGTCCTGGATTAGGCGGTTGTCGCTGAGATACTTGACCATCCAGGTGATGGCGGTGGCCGTGGTAACCTGGCCGGCGATGATGAGGGTGAGCATGTTGTCCAGAATCTGGTCCTCAGTGAGGGCGTCGGGATGGCCAAGCTGCCGCCTCTGCATGAGCACGCTGAGCAAGTCGTGGTGATGGTGATGGTGATGGTGATGGTGATTTCTGGCCGCCATCTCCTCCCTGAGCGCCGCCATGATGCGCTTCCTGGCGTGCAGGCCCCTGCGGAAGCGCGTGCCGGGCAGCCAGCGCAGCGGCAGCGCCAGCATGGCCTGCGTGACGGCGAACACGTCGCTCTGCAGCGGCCTCAGCTTTCCGCCGCCGGCGCCCAGCAGCATCTCGCAGATGGCGCGGTAGCTTATGTGGAGAGCGGCGTCCAGCACCACGACGACTTGGTTTTGATTATGAGGCGGAAGAAGCGTAGTCCAGTGGCGGATGACGAGGCGGTCGAAGGCGGCGGCGAAAGCGGCGGTGGAAGGGGTGGCGAAGAGGGTGGTGGCGAGGGCGCGGCGGGCGTGGCGGTGGTGGGCGTGGGAGGTGGAGCAGAGGATGCTGTGGGGGCCGAGCAGGTCGGCGGCGGTGCGGGCGTAGCGCTTGGGCAAGTGGGGAGGTTCGGCGGTGAGGAGTTGGGAGGCGGCGGGGTGGGAGGCGGACACGAACACGTGGACGCGCCCCATGAGCGCGGTGCGGAAGCAGCAGGTTGCCTCCCCCTCCCCCTCCCCCTTGTACAACTTGTAGCGCTCCTGCACGAAGTGGTAGAATCCCCGCCCGCTGCCATGGGAGGCCAGGAAGGCCGCCGTCTCCCGCCACTGCCACACCCACACCCACCATGGACCTGCACCAGCTGCCGGAGGAGGAAGCAGCGGCCCCCCCGCTTCGGTCGTCTTCCACCATGACCGGTACCAGGAGGCCACAATTGTAAGGACGAGTAGAAGAAGCACAACCACCCACCATGCTCCTGCTGCCAGGGACTCCATATTCATCGATCGATCGATCGGTATACGACTAGCTAGCTAGGTTGCTGAGCTTGTTCATCTTCCACCGCGCGCTCCAACTACACAAACAGCTGATCGAGCCCTGCCCCTTAATTGGGCCTTGATGATAAATTCTACTCCGATATCATCAATCATCATGATAAGCCTAGCTACAAGGCCACTCCATGCCCACCGTTACAACGCACTCACTCAATCCCTTGTCAACACATCTACTCTAGCTACTATAGCTACTATAGTAGTACTCCCACCGTTTCTAAATATTTAGCTACTATAGTAGAACATATTTGACTGCTCGTCTTATTCAAAAAATTTTATGAAATATGTTATTGGAATTAATGAATGGGTCTTAGCCCACTCGAAGATTAATTCTTTGGAAAATCACAAAAGCCCACCTCATGGGATGGCATGCATGTGGAGTTTAGTACCACCTTGCTTATTCTAGGAGAGGGGGACCTTATTAAAAGGGAGGATGCCCTCCTAGTCACTTGAAGCATGTGTGGTGGAGAGAAGAGGGGAAACACACGCGCGCACTCGCTCGCCTGGCCTGGCCTGGCCTGGCAGGGCAGGCGGCGCGCGTGCACGACGTACGCGTCGAATGGTCCGAAAAATTGGCTCCTCACCCTTGCGCAGATGCAGCCTCCTTTTGCAGTTTTGTTTTGCTGCAAATTCGGATTCGTTTTTGTTTTGGAAACGTTCCGAAAAATCCGGTGCGTGCAAACGGCGTGGAGTCCGGATAAGTTACGCGCGACTTATCCGGTTCGGTTACGCGCAGTAGAGATCGTGCGGGCGCCCTGATCAAGCGACCCTTCTCTATATAAACCGACCTGCCGTCTTCACGCAGCACACGCAAAATCAATCTAGGGTTTGCCTCCTACTCTGTACTGCGCCGTCGCTCGTAGACTACTCCATCCCGCTCGCCGGCGTGCACCAGCGATCGGGAGAGCAGGTCTCCGGAACCTCTGTCTTTGACGTCCTGCACCGGGAGAAGGCGGCAATAAGGTTTTTGGGAAGCGCTTCGCGCGACTGCTCCCTGTTCGTTCGCGACGGCTCGCCTTCCTCTTCGCTCGCGTGTTTCGTGCCTTCGTAGACACCTGCGAAAAGTTTCGACCAAGCAGCCGGTCTTTTCGTCACCTTGGTACGTGTTCAATATGTTGCGCATATTTGATCTGTTCATGTTATACTGTGTAGTTTACATGTGTAGATCTAATGATGCGTTCATGCTAGTTTTCATCTGTAATGTCATGATTTATTTATGGAATAGATTAAATCATTATATGTCTATAATCTCAACAATCCAAAAACCTTATTATAGGCACTGTGATTTTACTATGGCTGGTTTTGTCGATGCACTGAGGCCGGATAAATTCACCGGTGTGCATTTTAAGAGATGGCAGATCAGGGTCACTCTGTGGCTGACAGCTATGAAATGCTTCTGGGTGAGTACTGGCAAACCTGAAGGAGTTCTTACTGCTGAACAGCAGAAGCAATTCGAGGAAGCCACTACTCTCTTTGTGGGATGCATTCTTAGCGTTCTTGGCGATCGTCTGGTCGAGGTGTATATGCATATGACCGACGCTAAGGAGTTGTGGGATGCACTGAATACTAAATTCGGTGCTACTGATGCTAGCAATGATCTGTATATCATGGAGCAGTTTCATGACTACAAAATGGCTGACAACCGTTCTGTAGTCGAACAGGCTCATGAGATACAAACCATGGCTAAGGAACTCGAACTCCTTAAGTGTGTCTTACCCGACAACTTTGTGGCCGGGTGCATTATTGCAAAACTACCTCCATCTTGGAGGAGTTTCGGTACTGCACTCAAACACAAGAGACAGGAATACTCCGTTGAGGGGTTGATTGCGTCTCTTAATGTTGAGGAGAAAGCTCGGGAAAAAGATGCCGCGTCTAAGGGCGATGGTGGGCAGTCCAGTGCCAATGTTGTGCACAAGGCCCAGAACAAGAGCAAGGGGAAATACAAAGCTCAGCAGACCACCAACTTCAAGAAGCAGAAGAAGAACAACAACAATCCTAATCAGGATGAGAGGACTTGCTTTGTGTGTGGCCAAGTTGGTCATCTGGCTAGGAAGTGTCCACAGCGCAAGGGGATGAAGGCACCTGCAGGGCAGACTTCTAAGTCTGCTAATGTGACCATTGGCAACACTGGAGATGGAAGCGGGTATGGTAATTTACCTACTGTTTTTTCAGTTAATCAATCTACTAATTGGTGGGTTGATACTAGGGCCAATGTACATGTTTGTGCTGACATCTCATTGTTTTCTTCTTATCAGGTCGCACGGGGTTCCACCGTCCTAATGGGGAATGGGTCACATGCTTCTGTTCATGGTGTTGGCACGGTAGATCTGAAGTTTACTTCGGGAAAGATCGTGCAGCTGAAGAACGTGCAGCATGTCCCTTCTATCGACAGGAATCTTGTTAGTGGCTCCCGTCTGACTAGAGACGGATTTAAGTTGGTTTTTGAGTCTAATAAAGTAGTCGTGTCTAAACATGGATATTTTATTGGTAAAGGTTATGAGTGCGGAGGCCTGTTCCGCTTTTCCCTTTCTGATTTCTGCAATAAGTCTGTGAACCATATTTGTGGCAGTGTGGATGATGAGGCTAATGTTTGGCATTCACGTTTATGTCATATTAATTTTGGCTTGATGTCTCGGCTTTCCAGCATGTGTTTAATTCCTAAGTTTTCCATTGTCAAAGGTTCTAAGTGCCATAGTTGTGTGCAATCAAAGCAACCTCGCAAGCCTCACAAGGCTGCCGAGGAGAGAAACTTGGCACCACTAGAACTCCTACATTCAGATCTTTGTGAAATGAATGGGGTGTTGACGAAGGGTGGAAAACGATATTTCATGACATTCATTGATGATGCTACTAGATTTTGCTATGTGTACTTGTTGAAAACGAAAGACGAGGCTCTAGACTATTTTAAAATTTATAAGGCAGAAGTTGAAAATCAACTTGACAGAAAGATAAAAAGGCTTAGGTCTGATCATGGTGGAGAGTTTTTCTCGAACGAGTTTGACTTATTCTGTGAGGAACATGGCATCATACATGAGATGACGCCTCCCTATTCTCCCGAGTCTAATGGGATTGCTGAAAGGAAGAATCGCACACTGACTGACTTGGTGAATGCCATGTTGGACACCGCGGGACTGCCTAAGGCATGGTGGGGGGAGGCATTGTTGACCTCAAATCATGTGTTAAACAGAGTTCCTAACAGAAATAAGGACAAAACACCATATGAGATATGGATTGGTAGAAAACCATCACTTTCTTATTTGCGCACATGGGGGTGCTTGGCGAAAGTCAATGTACCAATAACGAAGAAGCGCAAACTTGGACCTAAGACTGTGGACTGTGTTTTTCTGGGATATGCTCATCATAGCATTGCCTATAGATTTTTAGTAGTTAAATCCGAGGTATCGGACATGCATGTTGGTACAATTATGGAGTCTCGTGATGCTATCTTCTTTGAGAGCTTTTTCCCAATGAAGGATACACATAGTGGTTCGAACCAACCATCTGAAATAATTCCCAGTTCAATCACACCACCAGAACAAACTGAACATACACATGAACTTGTCTCTGAGGAGGATGTCAGTGAAGCTCCTCGAAGGAGTAAGAGACAAAGGACGGCTAAGTCTTTTGGTGATGATTTCACTGTGTACCTCGTGGATGACACTCCTAAGTCAATTTCAGAAGCATATGCATCTCCTGATGCAGACTACTGGAAGGAGGCTGTCCGTAGTGAAATGGATTCCATTATCGCTAACGGGACTTGGGAGGTGACAGAGCGACCCTATGGGTGTAAACCTGTGGGGTGCAAGTGGGTGTTCAAGAAGAAGCTTAGGCCTGACGGTACTATTGAAAAGTACAAGGCTCGGCTTGTTGCTAAGGGCTATACTCAGAAAGAAGGCGAATATTTCTTTGACACTTACTCACCTGTTGCTAGATTGACCACAATTCGTGTGCTACTTTCCTAGCAGCCTCACATGGTCTTCTCGTTCATCAAATGGACGTTAAGACAGCTTTTCTTAATGGAGAGCTGGATGAGGAGATCTATATGGATCAACCTGATGGGTTTGTAGTTGAAGGTCAAGAAGGCAAAGTGTGCAAATTGTTGAAGTCTTTGTATGGTCTGAAACAAGCTCCTAAGCAATGGCATGAGAAATTTGACAAAACATTGACATCTGCAGGCTTTGCAGTCAATAAGGCAAATAAATGTGTGTACTATCGCCATGGTGGGGGTGAGGGAGTTATTTTGTGCTTGTAAGTTGACGACATACTGATATTTGGGACAAACCTTGAGGTGATAAATGAGGTTAAATCATTCTTGTCTCAAAATTTTGATATGAAAGATTTGGGAGTAGCTGATGTTATCTTAAACATTAAGCTAATTAGAGGTGAGAATGGGATTACGCTCTTGCAGTCCCATTATGTGGAGAAGATCTTGAATCGCTTTGGCTACATTGATAGTAAGCCTTCTCCAACACCTTATGATCCTAGCTTGTTGCTTCGCAAGAACAAGAGAATTGCTAGGAATCAACTGGAATACTCCCAAATCATTGGCTCGTTGATGTACCTGGCTAGTGCAACTAGGCCTGATATCTCCTTTGCTGTGAGCAAGTTGAGCCGATTTACCTCTAATCCGGGAGATGATCACTGGCGTGCGCTTGAGCGAGTAATGCGCTATCTGAAAGGTACTGTGGAATTGGGGCTTCACTATACTGGGTATCCTGTGGTACTGGAGGGTTATAGTGATTCTAACTGGATCTCTGATGTGGATGAGATCAAAGCCACTAGTGGATATGTTTTCACACTGGGTGGTGGTGCTGTTTCATGGAGGTCTTGCAAACAGACCATTTTGACGAGGTCAACCATGGAAGCAGAGCTAACGGCACTGGATACTGCTACTGTTGAGGCAGAATGGCTGCGTGATCTATTAATGGATCTGCCTGTTGTTGAAAAACCGGTGCCGGCTATCCTTATGAACTGTGACAATCAAACGGTAATTGTCAAAGTGAATAGTTCTAAGGATAATATGAAATCGTCTAGACATGTGAAAAGACGATTGAAGTCTGTCAGGAAATTAAGAAACTCCGGAGTTATAACGTTGGATTACATCCAAACAGCGAGAAACCTGGCAGATCCCTTCACGAAGGGACTATCACGAAATGTGATAGACAATGCA